GGGGCAGACACAGATCCCTAATCCTTTACTAAAGGACATTCTCAGAGTTTCTGAAGAGGAGTTTTTGGCCAGGACAGCATATTCCTCTGCTGAGGAGTTTGAGGTTTTTAAAAAGCTCTTGGATCAAGAAGAGAATGAATCTGAGAGCCATGCATCTGAGGAGGAGGAGGGAGAGGAGGAAGAGGAGGAGGAAGATTTGCTGTGATGGAGGACTGGAATGAAAAGGGCCCAGGAATGCTGGACATCATTCTCATTCTCAAAGCTTTGGGGAGATCACCTGGATCTTCTCAAGCATTTCTCATACTAACACTGGTCTTTTCATGGGGAAAAAAAAAGTTACTACCCACTGGAGATGTAAGTGCCTCAAAACAAATAGGGGATGCTCTATGTTTTATTGGGTTCTGTAGGAGGCCTACTGAATCCTAAATAAAGGACTCAGCTGTTAAAACCCTGGGGATGCAACCCATTACAGTTTGGTGTCTTGTTTTCTGTTGAAATAACGTTTGTGCTAAATTCCAAAATCATGTAGAGAAAGGGGTGTTTTCCAGCCCAGGGGCCACTTTGTATTGCCTTGTAGTAGTAGAGATAAATTCACAAGAATGTAACATGAGGAATAGTATGTCGTAGCACTTTATTTTATGAAAACAAGTAGCAGGTTTCCCACACAATAGTCATGTTTTTAATCCAACATCATCTCACGGCCCTCTAATGTGTTGAATGTACAGCAGAGTGAAAAGCGTTGGTTGGTAATGTATTCTTGAGTTTCAAAGTCTGCAGACTAGCAAACCACTTCTCACCTGTGAATTGCTGACCCTTCCTGCTTAGGCAGGCTGGCCTTCATGTGGGTTCCTGGCTAGTAGCCACGTCAAAGCCTACTCTTTGACTCTTCAGCCTGTGAGCCAGAGTGAGCTGACTCAACCAGCACTGCAGGGGCTGGGGATGCTCTGCAGTGGACATTGCTTCTGTCTTCTGTGGGATAGATGAAGAACAGTGCAGGCCCAGGTCTGAGCTTGGCCAGTGGCTCAGAGTGATGGGAATACTGGGGCTGGCATGAGGCGAGCTCCGAGGAGAGGCCTGCTTTGGTGGGGCTAAGGCTCAGGATTGAGGCCCTTCCCCAGGAAACTGCACAGGGTTGGTGATGCAGAAAGCTTTTTGATGGTAGAGTCAAAATCAGATATGCTTGGTAGTATTTTTTTCCTAGTTGGTGACATTTAATAGTCATATGAAACCTTCATGTGGGCTTTGTGTTTCCTATATAGACAGAACCCAATGCTTAGATGGGGATGACCCTGATCCTCAAGACACCTGACAATCTTAGGATGTGTCTTTTGTGTGTCGTGGCCCTGTGATCTTGTGGGTAGAAGTCAGGGATACTGCGAACTACCCTATGCATTGCAGTGTCAAAGCTGAGAAACTGCCCCAAGACCTGGCCCAGTAAAGTAATGTGACCATAACAAATTTGGATTGTAAATGGACTTGGGGAGTTTATTTCTGTCTAAAATAGAGATCTTGCTGGACCTGAGGTGTATTTTGTGAGGAATCAGCACAAGGTGCAGAGGCTTTGGCCTCACCTAAAGGGTGTTTCCAAAGACAAGCATGTCATTCCAAGACCCCTGTACAATCAGAGCTCGTCCCATATTTTGACTAGCAGATGTCAAGCCCAACAACTCATGATTACTTCTTCATTTTGACAGAAAAATAAATCTTTCCACCTTGTCCGTTTTCTGATTCCATTGTGACATTTCCCGAGTGGACAGTGACTGTCCTAGAAAGGTGTTCGAGGAAGCAGAGGCAGTGTGTTTAGGGTGCAAACACTTCTTCCTCAGCACCAGCAAGTCTTTCCACTCTGACACACTGGGATGACTTGACTGTGTGGCAGCTCCACACTCAACCATTCAGTAGGCGGGGTCTTGTTTGAAGGATAGGCTCCAGCTGGAAATGGGCGTGTGGCAGCATGTGCCTGGCGGGTGAGGCTCCTGAGGTCATAGTGTAGTATAAAGGTTTCATCTACGTTTCCAGTGATGTCACTTGGTCTTGCCATTCACTGCTAATGCTGTAGCTTATGTGGAGGGATGGTGGCAGGCCTCAGTGTTGCATGGAAGTTGACATACATGTTTGTGGATGTGGTCTCTGAGCCCTATCTGGCTCTCCAGGTGTCTGGAGATAAGTCAGTGTGTATCTAACATACAGTAGTGAGCTTTTGACATGATTATCCCACCTTCCTGAAAAAAGAAAAATCGCAAATACACAGGCTCGGAAAGTTTTAGTGAAAAGAAAATGTTATTCTTCAAAGTATGTTTGTGTGAACCGGAGGGCAGGAGGCGTCTGGTCAGGATGGGGTTCTTGGTGCTGGATCTCCAGTCAGGTCAGCGCTGCTCTTGAGGGATCAAGGTGTGGTTGCCTTTTCTGGTTCTGACCTCACTGCCAGGAGTAGGCAGCTACTTAGAGCCTTGTTGAGAGCAGAGTGGAAAGTGGATGCTGTGTAAAGTGTGTTTGTCTTGGTAGGCCACACCATCTACTTGAGGTACAGATTACAAGAAGCCTTGGGCATTCCTGGAGCCTGCCTGCCCTGCGCCACTATGGGTTGCCTTCAGATTTGAACAGAGTAGCTCTTCCTGCATTTCTTAGGTTTCCAAGCAAGGATCTTGACTGCTTTTCTTCTATGAAGGTTCAGCGGTCTTCATGCCTTGATGGCGATTTGTCATTCAGGAGGTGACTTTCTCTACAGAAGATGGAGGCCTAGGTAGGTCATCTCAGGAACCAGATACCTGCCAACTGTGGCCTACTGCCTGGTTTTGTGAATGAAGTTTTATTGGAATACAGTCATACTCCCTACATCTGTGACCATGTTGGCAGTACAGTAGCAAAGTTTGGTGGGTGTCAGAGAGGTCATTCCTTCTGAAAGTCCAAAATACTGCCTGAGCATTTGTCTGCCCTGCCAACCCATGAGTTGTAGACCACGGCTCTAAACTCTGTCATAGTAGGGATTAGCATTTCTTCTTTAGGTCAGTATATATGAGAGGAGCAGGGTAGATAGAGCTCATCAGTTTCCACGTGGCCCTTCTTGCATCTTTTGTGAAAGCTGGGTCTCGTATTCCCCATGTTCTGAGGGCTCGAGGGACACTGCTGTGACCCTGGAGTCTGGGAGTGGGTTCCAGGGACAGAAGCACCACTGGATGGGAGCCTGCTAACCCAGCTAACTGGCACACTCACTACTCAGAGGTTCTGGCTACAGCTACAGAAAACAGCCTGGCTTCAGATGGCAGGTGCTTCCCTTGCAGGAGAGCAGGTCTGTCTGTCTGTCTCCTAGAAACCTGAGGACAGACGTCCTAGACGGACCACAGCCAGGAACGTGTGTCATGTTTAAGTTTTGGACCCTGTCTTCTGGGTCTTGAAAATTGTTGAGGTGGGCAGTGTTACCAGCACATGCTGACCCTTTCGAAGGGAGAGCTGCAAACTGCAACACACCCCTCTTAACATGACACCCACTGCCTTTCTCTGGAGGAGCAGGCACTGAGCCCCGGAGGGCCCAGATCCATTCTTGCATCGCCAGAATCCCAGCTGGCTGTGATGCAGAGGGATGGGAATGAGAACAGGGACACCTCTGTGTGGACACCTGGGCTCAGCCTGTGATTTTCAATTTGAATCAACAGGCTGCTGGCCCCCTGCTGCCTTGCCTTTGGTGATGGCACTGGGTCTTTTCCCGGTGAGTGTACGTGCGCGCATGTGTGCTTCCTGTCTGTTTTTCCCGTTGCTCAGAAAACAAGTGTTCTGTAAGCCAGTATGTGGGAAGTAGCTGTGGTGATGGGGACACTCAGTTCTAATATTTCAAGTGTCTTATTGCCATGTAAGTATTTTAAAACCAAATAATCTGTGGATTCCGGCTCTCTGTGGGATTGAACTGCTGCTCAGTGTTGGAGGGTGTTTTGTGTGTGCATCCTTGGAGGCTGAGGTGAGAAGGCCATGCTGTTGATTGGACAAGCTTTGAGTGTTGTCAGCTGCCGTTGGTGCAGGGTTTTCACAGCTGAAGTGGTGAAGAGGCCAAGGCCAGGCCTGTCTGAGAGCCTGCCACTCCGGTGGGGTGCCTGACCTATCTGTGCCGATTGATGCCCTACCTGTTGCTGTGAGCGCATTCTCTAGGACTTGCTTCACCGGGAACTCCTGTATTGTTCTTGGGCCTTTGTGTGTCATTTCTTCTCCATGTCCTCTGCTACAGAAGAAAAAGGTGACTCTCTTCCTCCACTGGAAAGGTCTCGGGCCAGCCAGTCTGTCATTCCCAATTGATGTGCCGTCAGTAAGGGAATGTGAGGCTGAGTTCAGGCTATACAGGGGTTTCCGCAGAGTAACCCAGTATTTTCCGGAATGTTGTGGGATAAAAATCCAATGCCCTCGAACATCTCACAGGGAAATGGATGGGGCATGTTGGATCAACTGGGCAGTTTCTTCCATTTCAGGGTTATTAGTTCTTAGAATTCTAGGATCCACTATAACTCTCCCAGTGGGAGGCTCTATTTAGAGTCCCCTGGATGTTACATGACAAGGTTCCCACCCTATTCTACCAGTAGAGTGTCACCCACAGGGTTGGGGGTACTTGCTTAGGTCCTTCCCAGCACCCCCCAGGGTTGTTAGGCACCCTTGATCCTTCTACCACCCAGGTCCCTTGCCCTGTAGGGGCCAGGTGATTCTTGAGCCTCACTGTAACTGGTCTGCAGAGAGAGAGAGAGAGAGAGAGAGAGAGAGAGAGAGAGAGAGAGAGAGAGAGTTGCCCCTCTCCCATAAAGTCTCATTTCCACCTGAAAGCAGATTCATATGCAAGGCCAGACCAGGTTGTGTCTATTGAGAGGCCACAGTTGGAATTCTGGAACTTTCCTGGTTGGGTCTGTAACAGCACAGTGCTGCGTTCCTGCCATCAGTGTCTGATAAAGGACCTCAGTGCTCAAGGTGCTGGGTGTGACGGCGTCTCCAGTTCTCAACAGAGCTTGTATGAAGGAGAGTGCGCCTTAAGATTTCTTCAGTGTCTGGCTGTCACTTTGTTTCCTGAAATAATTAAGAAAACGGGTTTAGTGAAAAGGAATCCTGTGCACCTTAAACCCTACCTCTGTCAGCCTTACCTGTCCCTGACATATAACCCAGCCAAGCCCACACACACGCTGGCGCAGGTGCACACACCAGCTGAAGGTAGTAGTTGCAGATTGAGCAGAAAGGAACCTAGCACTGTCGGAAGAGTGTGGAATGGGACCAGCAGGAGCTGCTCTGGGAGACAGTGACACACTTAGGTCGAACGCCACCCCTGGTGACTGCTTGCTGCAAAGCAAGGGTGTGTGGCTCCAGCTGGTCCATGGAGAACACACCCAAGGGTGGATTCTCACTGTGAGAGCATAATGTTCTCAGTGTAGCTTTCGCGAAGATCCTAAACGGCAAAGATTCCTGTGACGACCTTGAGCTGGGGGAAAGCCTGTGTGTGATCAGGTGAGAGTTTCTAAGACTTGCAGTACACACTTGGGCCTGTCAGTAATATCTGGTTCTCTGTGCAAACAGCCTAGCTTGAGCCAACCCCGTCAATGCCCTTACCCATCCACCCACAGTACTGCATGCAAGATGTGGCCTGGCCCCGCCATGTACCTGTTTGGAGTTTCTTGAGGCTTGTGCTCTCACAGCGCTCTTTAAAACAAATGTCCTGGTGAACTTTGTAGACTTTCTTATACCTGTTGTCACAAGAGAACTCTGTGAAGCCAAACACTGGGGCAGAGAGGTGTCGTAACAGTTTCATCTAGGCTGTGCAGCCTACATATGGACAGAGGGAAACCACCATTTCCTTAATACAGCGTTACTGGGGGTGTACGTAAAGTCTAACATAAAAGTCCAGTAACTTAATTTTACTGAGTACAGCATGCATAAAAAAGTATCCATTTCAGGGTACATTTTCACGAATGCTGACAAAATCATGGTGTTGAAAGGCACCATTGAAATTTCAGTGACCAGACATTGCTGGGGGTGGGCCACATGGTCTAAGGCCTTGGGAAGGTCTGACTCTACGTGCTGGTTAGTGAGGTCTTGTTGACCTCATATGGGAAGAGGGAACTTTAATTGAGGAAATGCCTCTATCAGGCTGGCCTCTAGACAAGTGTGTGAGAACCTTTCTTTTCTTGATTAATGATTGATGTGGGAGGGTCCAGACTACTGTGGGTTATAACCCTGGGGCAGATGGCTCTGGTGGCCTAAGGAAGCATGCTGAATGAACCGTGAGGAGCAAGTCCATAAACAGCACTCTTCCTGGTCATTCTGGTCTTTAGTTCCCGACTCCATGTTTCTGTCCTGCTTATGTTCCGGCTTTGACTTTCCCCAATAATACACGGTAAAGTGTAAGATAAACACTTTGCCCCCCCAAGTTGCTTTTGGTTGTGTTCTTTGTCACAGCAATGGAAAGCAAATTAGGACACCCAGCGCTTCTGCTTTATGAGCATCTGAAGAACACAGTCGTGAAGTCTAGACTGTAAGCTTCGAAGGTAGGCGCTATGGACCAGGGAGCCTCATGACGCCTGCCCACCCATTTATTAACCAGCCTATGCTCCAAACCTCTTTAGCTTCCAGGTTTCGGTTTCACGTGTTATACCCAGAAATCTTCTCACACCATTCAGTAGGAATGAGAATGGGTTTGGGCCTATTAGAATTTCTGTGTCTGACCCACAGAAAAGATAACCAGGGAGCTGAGAGAAGCTTCTGTTTGTATTAGTTTGGGAAGACATTTTGGAGGACTTCTAGCTTCGAGGAGTGGAGGAGCTGGGATTAACTTTGAGCTTCAGCTACTAGAGAACTGGAGGAGGTAGAGGGAGGAGCTATTTTCAGAAGCTAGAAAACTTGCATGCCCGGAGAAGAGGGAGACACGAGAGGATACTGCCATTCAGCCTGGAGTGCTTGCTGAGAGTACGCAGTGGTGGCAGCGGTGTTGAGGAAGCAGGCTGGGGTGGAGGGCAGAGGCCTAGCTGGAGCTTGTGGCGGGGTGTTCTGGAGTGGAGAGGGGAGCAGTCTGGAAGTCTGTGATGAGAGGCGAGCTGTGCACACCCACAGTGCTAGAGGCCTGAGCAGCTAGGCCTGACCTGAACCAAGAGTGGTAAGATCTTGTTTGACTCTAGGGAGACGGTGCTACAGAAGGGGATGAACTTAGCTCTATATGAATGTAGTGAAATATTCACTCTGTCCGCACCTGCTGCACTGACCACGCCCATTGGGGGTGGGGACAGGTGCAGATATGACCTGGGGAACTAGGTCTGGGGTAGGGGACCCAGGAGCTCTCTCTTGCTTCCTGGATGGAGACAGAGAACATCCGGAGGCATCCTTGGGACGCAAACCTGCTGGGGTTCATCTGTCTCTGTTGTAAGTTATTTCTCCCTGAAATAATATCTACTCAGCCTGTCTGTTTTCCCCATCCTTATTTTTCCATGATAGATGTAGGTCTCTCTTAAAGCCATCCAAATCCTCAAAAGTACCAAACTCTAATCAAAGCCTGCCCTGCAGAAAACAACAAAAATACCTTCCTTGAAAAGAATTCAAACAAATCTAGCATCCAGTGATATGAAATTTATATTGTTCAGCATCTGATAAGATATGGCATTCAAAGAATCATAAGAACCAAAAAACAAAAGCACCCCCCAAAACACAAGAGCCACATATGATATATCACCTGGAGAAAAATAGTTGACTAGAAAACAATTGGGAAGTGAGGGGCAAACCTTACAGCATCTGCTATCTGTTGTCCCATATATTTAGCAAGCCTGAAGGGAAATTCAGCAAAATAAAGGTAAAAATGGTTGATCAAGAAAGGTTAAGCAGAATTTATAGCAATGATGAGACACAGTGTCTGTGCTGGGGGGGGGGCTGATGCTCAGTGGCACAGCACTTGCTGGGCAGACGTGGGTTTACTCTTAAGCCTGACCCAAAAAAAAAAAAAAGGACAACAAACCCCAAAAGCTAATCAAACAACCATCAACAAGTATCTGAAATTGAATCTGTTGAATTGGATGAATAATAAACTAGATGATGTGAAAGAAAAAATATGTGGCATTGAACACACGGCAGTGCTAGCTATCCAACAGGAAACATAGATATATTTACATGCATTTACAATGCTCCAAAACACACGGAAAGACCTACAGTACCCTGAGGGACAAGATTAACAAATTCCAGAGAAGGGTGGGGGTGGTGTCGCATGCTTTCATCCCAGCAGTCAGGAGGCAGAGGCAGGTAGATCTCTGTGAGTTTGAGGCCAGCCTGGTCTACATTAGCAAGTTCCAGGACAGGCAGGACTACAAAAGAGAGACTATCTCAAAAATAAAAGGTATATAAATAGATAATTAAATACACAAATAAATAATCCAGGGAGTAAAAATATAAACTATCCAAACCAAAACGCATGATCGATTTGGCCAGAAACAGCAATAAAAAGGAAGCAGAAAAGGAGCCACAGTGGTGGAGAAGGGAAAGGGGAGGTGACAGGGCCACTCCTGCCAGCTTGATGGCAGGACAAGCACACAGGGCTAAGGAGCAGCCTTGGTTGTGTCTGGGATGTTAACCGTCAGTGCTAAGAAGAGAAGGCTGTTACGACATGGCTGGCACGGTCCCACAGACTGGGCCAGCACACAATACAAGTGTCTAAAGGGGAAAGCCAAGAAGCACACGTATTCTTTGCCACACCACCTTGACCTCCGCCATCATGGACTGAAACCTCTGTAACCGTGAGTCAAAGTCAAATGCCTTTACATTGTTTGTGTCAAGCATGTTGTCACGATGATGACTCTAACCTGAAGTGATGAAGCAAGAATCGTAACTGTCCACCAATAATCCTACATTTAGCAAATATTTATGCCCCAAGTGAGGCTGAGACGAAGAACTTTTCAGACAAATGAGAACAGAGAACCATCATCTGTGAATCTGTGTCCTCAGAAATGTTCCAGTTACGTTTTCCAGGGAAGGAAACTGATATCAGATGGTGAGTGTTAGAAAAGCAAGCCCTTCAGCATTGAATAACAATAAATGGCTGACAGCACTGTGACATTTACTGCCGTAAATGCAAGTAAGTCTGATATGACTCAGCGAAACCGCAACTATAACTGCAGTTGTATGCAAGTAACTCAAGGTAAACGGAGACAAACTGAAGGATTGTAATCCCCAGAGTGATCGCTGGACAAAATGAAACAAATATACTCTGTTAGTCAGTAATCTAAAATTATCCAGAAAAGTGGAAAAAGCGATAAGGATCAGACGGAACAAATAGAAATCAATATGTAGATTTACACCCAGCCACTCCGCCCATTATGACAATTGTAAAATGATCTAAACGTTCAACAGGTCGGACTGAATATAAGTAAGACCCACCTATATGCTAGCCACAGGGGAGTCTCTTCAAAGATGTATACAGGTTACAAGAACAGGGTAGAAAATTTGAGTGAAAGACTTCTCACGCGGCAGGAGCATCTAACAAGAGGCAGGCTCTGGTGTAACCAGAATGGCTGGAAGCCAGAGGATTATGTTGGTGCACACTAACATCAGATACATTGTGGGTCCAGGGTGAATGTGATCAAGGTTGCTTCCCCAAACCCATCTGGATTAGGACTTTTTTTTTTTTTTTTTTGGTTTTTCAGAGACAGGGTTTCTCTGTGGCTTTGGAGCCTGTCCTGGAACTAGCTCTTATAGCCCAGGCTGGACTGGAACTCAGAGATCCCCCTACCTCTGCCTCCCAGTGCTGGGATTAAAGGTGTGCGCCACCACCGCCCGGCTTCTATTCCCTTTCTAACCCTGGCTTTGTATCAAGTTTGGATACGCTTTCTGCCATTTGCCCTCCATTCTTCCATCTGCTCCCTCCTCCTTCAGGGAGCATCTAGAGTGGCTTGAACACCGTGGTCACACATCACCTTCTGCACAGAACCCTCAGGGTCTCTGTGGATCCTGAGGAACAAATGCCACAGTCCATCCAAGGGTCTCCAAGATCCCCGGGACCCTCCTTCCTTCCGCTCTCACACCCTGCCCGCTCTGTCGGTCCCTGTAGCTCCTCAGGCATGTTGGGCACAACCGGATGCAGAACCTTGTAACACACATGTGATGTCTGGAACATTCTTCTCTCTCTGATGTCCCAGCCTCCTCCATGTCTGTTCAGTGTCCCCCTCCCATGACGCACGTCCCGTCCCCTCCATCCTGCTCCTGGCTCTCCTTGTCTCCTTTCTTCCCTGGGCACTCTCTGATCTCTTGTACAGTGTAGCAGGGGTGCTCTTGCTGTGACTGTCCTCACGTAAGGCACTAGTGTCTGGCTCCCTGAGTGCCTGGAGCAGTCGCCCAGAGTCATCACATGCTTTAGCAAGTAGGAGCTCAAGAGATGCAGTAAGCAGTCCTCTGTCCTAGACCAGGTGGGGAAACTGAGGCAGGGGTGATCTGCCCACAGACACATGGTGCTGGGTTAATAATAGAGGTGGGGCTGGCAATCCCATGTGCTGTTTGATTTCTGAGCCTTAAGGGACGGAGGGGAGTCAGGTCCTGGAATTATGTGCAGGCTTCCGTGCATGGGGGTCAGCCAGTCAAGGCTGGACAAAGCCGGTGTCTGCAGTCTCTGTCCCTCCTCAGCCGATAAGGACACCATCCCAGGGCACAAAGGCAGAGGCAGAGCTGACTTACACATGGTGGCAGACATCTCCTTCCCAGACAGGGAACGACTTCGTCTCAGAGAACAGCCGTGTGCAGGGGCGGGGCACTTTTTCACAGGCTACAGCACAAAGGAGAAAGAAAGGCCAGTCCGTAGGAGGAGGCTGCTTCTGCCTCTCAAGGCAGAGCTTTGCCTGAGGGAGGGAGAGCCCTGCAGCCTGTGTGAGCCTGGGGATCTGTGCCAGCTACTTTCTGGGCATGAGGCCTTGCCTCAGGGGACTCAGTGTCTGCAGGCTGGTTTTCCTAAGGCTCCTGTGGCCTTGGGGTTATTTTGTGCCTTTGTGGGACGTTCTAACACGTTTGGTTCCTAGTCCAAATGCGTTCCCTCTCACCATCAATCTGGCTCCTAAAGTGTTGCCTTTCGATCACCATCCCTAATCTTGGCTTCCTAGGCTCTGCTATGGGCAGAGCATTCCAACCAGTGCCTTGTGCATCCCTCTGTCTCTTGTGGCTCATGGTCTGTCTCTGAGGTCCCACATCCACCATCCTTCCTCCCTGAGCTCTCTTGGGTCCCTGCCTTGTAATCTCACAGAATGGAAGCCCCTAGGGATAGCCAGTTTGTATGCTCAGCATCCCGGGGCCGAGTCCCAGGTCATTGTGACAGTGCCCTGAGGCCAGTAGCCAGGTCTGACTCACCAAGCTCACAGTGTCTTCCTTTGAACCCAGGCCTGCAGTCACAGCTGTGGGCATTGGCACCTGGCACACAGGTGCCTCCATTCTGACAGGCACCTTCTGAACAGCCACCAGGAGCACCTGGAAACAGGAAGGCAGTGTCATCTTCAGAGTCCAGGGAGGCCTGTGGTACTGCAGGCTGCATCTCCTGATGATCTGGCCCAGTGCCAGAACACAACTGTGGTGAGTGTTTTTGGTTTCAGGCTGGAGAACCCTCTCCGGGCAGTGAACGCAGTCCTGCTGACTCATATGATTTATACAATGTGTTCTGGGCTTAGTTTTTATCCCACCTTGGTCTTTGAATGAGTCTCCCCACATCCATGGACACATGTCTGGAGCCGAGAGTCTGCCTTGAGCAGTCCTGCCTAAGGCCTACCCAGTGAACAAAACCAGGACATTTGGCTTAAAAACAAAACAAAACAAAACAGAACAAAACAAAACAAAACCCCCAAAACCAAGCACTTGGGAAACCGAGGCAGGAGGATCACAAGTTAGGGCAGGCTGGGCTGTATAGAGAAACCCTGGGGGAAACGGAGGGGGTTTAACTTCCTAGTCTGTGTTTTTGTTTCTCACACTCCTCTCCTACAGCACCAGGGCCGCGTGAGGAGAAAGCAGACGCCACCGCAAGCGGCTCCGTTGGCTTCCATTTCTAGCCTTTAGTGTTGACGGTTTTATAAACATTTTTTGGTTCTAAGTCAAAATTATGAAATGAGATAGATATTCCAGAGAACCCACTCATGTCTCATTCCCTGAGCCCGCTCCTCCCTCCCTCGGATAACTCGCTGTCCTTATTAGTTTGGTTTATTTTTCAACATAAGAAAAATATATTCTCATTTCTTTTTACTTCTTAAAAGAAGACTTCTGGGGTTTTATAGATCATAAAAATATTCATAGCTTCCTAGCATACTCACTGACATGCATCCATTACCACTGTCAATTTTTGTTTATTCTTTTAAAAATTTAAGGATTCCATTTTGTGTGTATCAAGTGTGTATTACATTCATGCAGTGCCCACAGTGACCAGCAGAGGTCACCGGATGCCTGGGAGCAGATGAGGTGGTTGTTAACTGCTGTGTGGGTGCTGGGAACCTAACCTGGATCCTTTGTAAGAACAGCGAGTGCTCTTAACCTCTGAGCCATCTCTCCAACGCCCTGTGTTAGTCTTTAAAAAGTCACACGAGTACATGTGTGTGAACACATATGCCATGGCACATCCGTGGAGGTCAGCAGACTTGTGTAAGTCACTTCTTAGGCGGAGCTTAGATTTACGTTACCCACGGAGAGTGTCCCACCATCCCCTCATAGTCAATTTCTGAATACTTCAATCTCTTCAGAAAGAAGCCTCATGCTTTTGAGCTGGCTTTCCTATTCCTCCCTCTCTGTCCCGAGGAGCCACCAAGTGCTTCCCATTGCCAGAGATAGCCCTGTGCTAGAGCCCAGTGGAAAGGAACCCTGATACACATGGCCTGTTGTGCCTGGACTCATTCTTTTACAATACCACATCAAGTTTCCTCCATGTAACAGTCCCATTCTTGTCTAGGATCAGATGGCACTATTGAGTAGACATGTCACAGTCTATTGTCAGGGGGCATGCTTGGCTATTTTTCTTTTGGTGATTACTAATGATGATTCCATGAATAGTCATATAGAAGACTTGCATTGACACATGCTTTAATTTTTCCTGGCTATATACCCCTAATAGAATTTCTGTGTCACATGGTAACTCTCATTTTATTTTGAGGAAATACAAGTCTGTCCCCCATTCCTAGTGGCTTTATATTCCCAGCAGTGACCTGTGGGTTCTGATTTCTCCACATCTCAGCATTGCTTATTATCATCTGAGTTTTTTTTTTTTTTTTTTTTTTTTTTTTAATCCAATCCATCCTTGTGGGTATGAGGTAGCATCTCATTGTGGCTTTGGTTTTCTGTTCCCTGACAAATGATAATGTTGGCAAGTTGTGTATCTTCCTTGGAAAAATATCTGTTCAGATATTTTGTCTTTTTTTTTTTTTCTGTTATAGTCTTTATTTCATGGACTTGAACAGATAGTCAAATCATGTCCCTAGAAACATAAATTATATGCACATATGAAATAGAAGACACTACAACATACAAGAGTATGTTAATCCTGTCAAATGAAAGTAATATAAAATGATTTTTTGCCTTTTTTTTTTTTTAAAAAGTTGAGTCATTTGCCTTTAAATTTAAAGGAACTCTTTGCAAATTTAGATACAACTTTCTTACAGATATATGGTTTGAAATATTTCTTCCCTATCCATGGGTTTCTTAATGTATCCTTTGAATACAGAAGTTCTGAATTTTGATGGAACCACATTAACTTCTTTTTTTCTCATACTTTTGGTGATGAAGCTGAAAACCCTCTTCCAGATCTAAGGTCTTAACGTTTCCTTCAGAATTTTTAGCTCCTAACACTTGGGAGCCTCCTCTGTTAATGTGGGTGTGAGGGTTATGGTGTGAGGTAGCAGCCAGCTTTACCCTTTGTGTGTGGACATGCAGTGTGTCATCACTGTTGGTTGAGAAGACCGTGTTTTCCTTGTGGGGTGGGCCCACCCCTGCCCTCCCTGTGTCAGAATCAGTTTATGGCGGATATGTGGGTTTATTCCTAGGCTCTCCATTCTGCCCCATACAGTCACATCTGTCCTTAAGCAGTGTCACAGTTGATTTGTAGCATGTTTTGACAAAAGGAACATGAATCTCCCCACCCATCTCCTCTTTTCTGAAATGTTTTGTTATTCTGAATCCCTTGCCTTTCCATGTGAATTTTAGGCACTCTACATAATGGCCCAGAGATGTTTACAGCAGCCCTACAAGATGAGGGAGTGTGGGAGAGCACTGAAAATGTGTGAGTTCACATCATCAACCCCACCCTCCACCCGGGAGTTGAAAGAAGGATGGAGACTCTTTAGGGGTCTAAGTGGGAGGGCTGCTCCCACTTGGTGTGATTCACACCAAGGCCCCTGACATTAACCTGGACCAATTGGCTCACAGAAGGGAAGATTTTGGTTCACAAGAGACAGCCCAGAATGGACTCATGCATGTGTGGACCCTTGATCGACAGTTCGGGTGACTGAGGGCTAGAATAAAGCATGTGTCTGGAGGAGAACCCTCTCTGTTGTGATGTGTGATTAAATGACCCCTCCTATCACCCACTCCAAGGCTAAGGACTCACAGGCAGATAGTGCAGGATGGAGGTGGGCTGCAGGGACAGTCCAGGGTTGAGGGGTTGGGGGAAACCACAAGATAGAGTCTAGCATGAACTGGGCTCCAGAACTCCCAAAGGCAACCAGACAAATGGAGACAGATGGCATGACCATGACATGAATCAGAGATCATGACTAATTTTGTACCGTTAGGCCATTAAGGATTCTTTTCCTTGTGCTATCACTGAATTTACCCCACTGTAGGGTGACAGTGGTCTCGCGGCCAGTTCTACAGCCACCTTGGATTTCTCTTGTGATAGACCCCGGAGGCTGAACCCACACCTCTCCTGTTTTGGACTTCATGAAGGGACTCAAATGGACTGGTATAACACAGATTATCCAGTGAGTCAGAACAAACTATGGTGACTATACCTCAATGCTGTAGCATGCACAAACACCCTCCCAGTGTGCACAGGGTCAAGAGCTGGTACAGGTACCCCCAGGTCGGGGAGAACATTTCAATGCAGAGACCTGTTTGCAAATGTACTTCTGGTGCTGTCAGTGCTCTTACGAGGGGCAGGTGTCTTTGGGAGGCAGAGTTTTCAGGTGAGGTTATCTTGAAGGTTATACTTCTACAAGTACTCGGGTCTTCTTTGGGGCTAGGTGAACACAATCTAAGTCCCTGATGTGAGTTGGAAGGAGAAGGTACCTCTGGGCCCTAGGAAACTAACCCACAATCCCTAGAGGGATTAGAGGGGGGATAGAGCAAGAGTCTGACAGTTGAAGAAGCAGGCATCAGCTTGTGCTGCTCGCTGTTTGCCCAGAGGTGTGGGAAACACACCCAGTGCTATGCAGGGACAACCAGCTGAGCAGAACAGTGCAGGGTAGTCCTACAGGGTACCAAACCTGGGGGGGGGGGCATCCCTCAAGGCAGGGTTTGCTCAGTGGGAACTTGTCACTGATTCACCTTTCTGACTCAGTACCTCTTCTATGAAGTGACGCTGAGTGGCCTGAAGTGGATCCCCAGGGAATCCCCAGGGTGAGGGGCAAGGTGTGGCCAACTACTGGAAAGAAGAGGCGGGATGGGTTAGTCTTTCCAAGACGGATCCTGGGTTGACCGCATTCTCCGGCCACTCTCGAGAAGCAGAGGACCGTGCCCCAGATGGGGTGCCCAACTGCCCCTAACTTCCCACTGGGGTATTTCTCACGATGGTAGCTATGAACAGTAGCTGCTCCCATACCCCCAACCCTTGACTTACTCTCTGTGTCCTTGCTGCTGTTCTTGGGTAGCTGGAGGGCCAGGCGGACCTGCTCAGGGGCCTCCTCTGTGTTCTTGAGTGGTGCCAGAGTGGTGGGTTCTAGGAGAAGCTAAGGGTGACCACATTGTTCTTGCTTCATGCCTAGGCCCAACCCTGCTGGCCCGCCCATTGATCCCACACGCTGCCAAAGCGCACTGTGGTCGCCCGCCTGTGGAGGCTGGGTCTTACCCCCACGGCCCCTCTGAAAGACAAGCTTTGTACTTTCCTGGAGCTGAGGTGTGGGGCTCTCTCCCGATGGGGGATGTCCTTCTGTATATATGTTTTTTTTTTTTTTTTTCTTACTGGTTGATGAATAAAACACTGATTGGCCAGTAGCCAGGTAGGAATTACAGGCAGGGCTAAGAGACGAGGGAGAATACTGGGGAGAGGAAGGCAGACAGAAGCCACAGAAGAGCGAAGCCATGTAGCTGCCGAAGGAGTAACATGCTGGATTACAGGTAAGCCACAGCCTCGTGGGAATACATAGTTTAATAGAAATGGGTTAATAATTAAGAGAGAGCTCGCCAGTAAGAAGCCTGAGCCATTGGCCAACAGTTTCTAATTAATATAAGTCTCAGTGTGTTTATTTGTGGCTAACGTGGCTGTGGGACCAGGCGGCACAGAAACTCGTCTACACTCCCCCTCCCAGGGTTAGGTTCCCGTTTCCGCTCCCCAAGCCCAGCTCTCTGGGTGTGTGAGCCTGTTTTCCTTTTCAGCAGTCAGGGCCCTTGGCCGCAAGTCATCTCTACAGAACTTACCTCTGCCCATAGGCATTTGCTGCCTACAAGTCTGATGTCCCCTGCCCTGGTGCTCCAGTGACGCCTGTTCACCAGCAGGCGCCCGTCTCTCACAGGCCAGGCTTGGTGTTGGCCTTTTGTCCCTGTCCCCTGCTTCCCACTGCCCCTCTGCCCCTCCATTCCCTATTCACGCCCTCTGCTCTCCACCCTCGAACACTTTCATTCTCCACAGAGCTGGGGAATCTGATGAGGTTAGGAGCCAGGCCTCTCTCAGGCAGACTCCTGGAGAGCCCCTTACCTGGTTAGCCCTCCCATTGTGGATGGGCACCTTTCCTGCTACCCTAGAAGTCTAAAACCTCACACGCAGTCAGGATTGAGGTTGCTGGAGATGTCATGACTGACTGGCTAGTGCAGCCTTTAAACCCAGCCTTTAAGGGCCTCCACATTTTTTTATGCGGGGGGGGGGGGCAAGGGCAGTGAAGCCACTAGAATTGGCTTCCAAGTTGGTGCCTGGAAGTTTGCAATACTCACGTGATCTCACGGTGACCGATTTGCTGGGCAAGCCACCAAACCTGGCACTCACTCTTCCTCTTCCATCTACAAGCTCCGAGAACCTGCAGACAGGGTAGGAGGGTCAGGGGTTGAGCACAGCCTGGGAATCCAGCGCTGGGGCTAGCGTGTGTACCTGGGTGGCTGAGTTGGTGTTTCAGGGGCACTGTGGTCATTGAGCAGGTGCAGCTCTGGCAGGCGCACAGGGGCTGGCCTGTTTCTGAGCATCCGTAGGGGGTGTCCTCCCTGGTGCCAACGTCTGTCAGTGCCATCCCTGGAGGCTGCAATAAGGGAAGGAGAAGTAGGTTGCCTGGTGTTCCTGTCTCTGCCTCTACTGCAGGAGAGTGGAGGCTCACACCCGGCCCTGCTTAGGCAAGGGCAGAGACGGGTACTTGTTGCCCATGAAGCCTGTGTCACCTGCTACGTCCTTTTACAGCAGAGGCCATGCACTTGTGCTGCAACAGATACACTGGCCTGGAAGGCCGGCTCCTCGACACTCCCTGGCAGAGTCCTGGTCTGCTAAGCAGATGTCAGGCTGTGGATCACAGTCCTGTGTATCAGCAGTTTTCCTTCAGCCTCTCAAGCTAGGGGACTTCCTTCCTTGTTTATCTGCCCCATCCCAACTCTGGTTTAGCTGTACTGACAGGCTCACAGGGTCTTTCACAGGCTCACAGAGCCCAGCTGGTAGAATGGCAGGGTTGGGACTGGGAGTTAGTGTAGCAGATAAGCATTGTATTCACTCTTGTGTTCACAAAGCAGCCTCCTGCTCACGCTGGGAAGAGGAAGGAGGAGGGGCCTAGGAGCCCCACTCTCTTGGAGAGCCACTGGCCCTGCTTTAGAACCTGTGTCTGTCCCGTTCACCTCTGCTTGTCTCCTCACCGCGTTCTCGCTGTGTTCAGCACTCCTCAGACTTTTCACACACCTCGTGTGAGGTTTCACAATATAATAAAGGGCATATGGGATGCTGGTGGCTTCCGGCAGGGTGCCCTGTCACCCATGGGGACAGACTAAGATCCTTAACAGGGCAACTTAATATGACTACACCCCAGCTTTTTGCTTGTGCCCTTCCTGTCTTCCCAAGCCACTAGTGGTCTCTGCCCCTGTCTCCTGCGCTCATCTGCAGCAGCCCCCCTTGGGGCAGACCTGGGCCCCTTCCTTGCTGCTGCTTGGTAGCTCCTTCAGGATGAGGTCCTGCATTTGCTGCTAAGCCTGCCCAGGGTTAGACTGGTGAATCATATAAGATGAGGCTTGACAAATACACATTTCCAGTTTGCCAGTGCTGTCGACTGTCCTTCCTTACCCACGGGTAAAAAGCCTCCTTTCTTATTATGCCCATGTCTCTATTCCCAGGAACGGCCCTTGCCACCACACCCCAAGAGTGGCAGCCAGCGGCTGTGGATTTGAGCGACCACCAGCCCTCTGCTGTCACGGGACTCACAGGTGATGATGTAGAGGTGGGCAGGCTCACTGTGCAGCTGGCCCTGCTCTGTGCTCTGCACGGCCGTAACCGAGAGCTGGTACCGCCGACCTGGCAGCAGGTCACGCACTGTGTAGGACACCAGCTTCCCATTGGGGATGTAGCGGCTCTTGGTGCTCTGGCTGGTGGTCACATTGATGACATAAGCCTCCAGGGAGATACCTGAAGTGGGGGTGTCCCAGACCACGTGGGCAGAGGTGGCTGTGACCCGAGAGGCAGTCAGGTTTGCTGGAGGCAAAGGCCCTGAATGGGGAAGGAGGAAGTGTAAGTCGGGTCAAAGGGCATTGGGTGAAACGTCGCCTAAGATCTGAGAGGGATCGGTGGCTGCATCCGAAGCCAGCCTTGGTTACTGTTGGCACTGCCATCCTGGGAGGGCATGGAGAACTTGTATATAGAGCTTAGGTCACACCTCCAACATGTCTCCTCAAGTGTCTGAGGGCCACAAACGGGCAGACCCGGGTGTGGGAGGTGTAGAGTTGTTCCCACTTGTCATCTCTACTTCACCAACTGCCACTGCTCATGGACTCCCTTCTCACAGTCCACTCCATGGAAAGAGCATGTGCAATGCTAGAGTGGGCTGATCACATGACCCCAAAGCCTTGGGCGTCGTCATCCCAGCTTGCTCCGTGGACTCTGAAGCATTCCGGGGAGGACATGCTGAGGATGTCTTGGTGTACTCAGCAGTCTTGGACAATGTCTCTGGCAGAGGGCTTCTCCCTCAGGGCTGGGTTTATAATATAAGGACACTTGGAAAGGAGAGGATGCAGGAGAGTACCACGTGTGAGAGAGGGCTGCGGGCAGAAACTGTGCCTGTCTACTTACGGGTCCACACGTTCAGTGGTGCTGAGGCCAGGCTCTCAGTAGGGTAGTCAGCTCCTCCAGGCCCACTGAGGGTGGTTAGCTGCACAGTGTATCTTCTTCCTGGTAGCAGGTCCCTGCCAGAAGGGGCGAGGAGGAGAGGGACATCTGGGGGCCTGTGGCTAGCTCTGTATGACCAGGAGTAGGGATATTTTGCTGCTAGTGGTCCAGGCCACCTCATTGAGGGGCAGATCAGTAGTCAGTCCTTAGACTGTAGTGCTCCAGGATTGGGAAGTTTCTCCACTCTCTAGTGAGAAGACAGAAGGGTCTGGACACTGCCACAGTGTGCTCAGAAGACAGATGTTCAGATGAGAGGTTCAGAAATGGGACAACTTGAAAAAGTCTCTGTGTAGACCCATGTAATGTCTTTGCCATAGTCTGGATTTTAGAGCAACCTGCCAGGATGCTGGAAGGACAGAAAGAACCTCACTCTCAGTGTCAGGGTCCCCATTTGCTGCTTTTGGCCACGGAGGCCACGGAGGCCATGGAGGCCACGGAGGCCACGGAGGCCACAACGCTCCCCTCCCCCCCCACACTGTTGCTAGTCCCGTCCCACCCAGTGACGTAACACTGAGAATTCAAAAGCCAGTGCCCCTCCGGCAACTTCAATTTTCTTTTCTTCCCATTTGGGGGGCCAGGCGTTAAGGAACGGGGTATTCCAATACCAGCGGCATATCCAGAGAAAATGGAAAGGGACTCTGTAAGCCAAAGGTCCCATGACCTGGGCTGACCTTCTCAGAGATAGCTTATGACAAGACAAAAATTAAAACCAAAACAAAATGGAAGAGAAGAACCAGCCCTGGAGGGCTGCATCATCTGGTTCAAATACCCGGTTTTAATAAAACACAAAGTCACTAAGAGGCGATGGAAGTCTGGTACGTTCAAAGGGGAAGAGAAGCCACTTAAGACATGATGGCGGTCTACTAGACAGAGACGGAAGTGGCAGTCTTGGGGGTCAGGCCGTGATTGAAAGGGAGATACAAGAGAGCAGTAAATAAACAAATGGATCGAAGAGACAGGAGGTCTGTGAAGAAACTGACGAGATCCCAGGGAGGCCAAATACAAAGGCAGCCTGCCCCCCCCCAGCACAGCTGTCTGACTAGTTTGTACCCAGCACAGCTGTCTGACTAGTTTGTCCCTGCACAGCTGTCTGACTAGTTTGTCCCTGCACAGCTGTCTGACTAGTTTGTCCCTGCACAGCTGTCTGACTAGTTTGTCCCTGCACAGCTGTCTGACTAGTTTGTCCCTGCACAGCTGTCTGACTAGTTTGTCCCTGCACAGCTGTCTGACTAGTTTGTCCCTGCACAGCTGTCTGACTAGTTTGTCCCTGCACAGCTGTCTGACTAGTTTGTCCCTGCACAGCTGTCTGACTAGTTTGTCCCTGCACAGCTGTCTGACTAGTTTGTCCCTGCACAGCTGTCTGACTAGTTTGTACCCAGCACAGCTGTCTGACTAGTTTGTCCCTGCACAGCTGTCTGACTAGTTTGTCCCTGCACAGCTGTCTGACTAGTTTGTACCCAGCACAGCTGTCTGACTAGTTTGTCCCTGCACAGCTGTCTGACTAGTTTGTACCCAGCACAGCTGTCTGACTAGTTTGTCCCTGCACAGCTGTCTGACTAGTTTGTCCCTGCACAGCTGTCTGACTAGTTTGCAAGAAGGAGCAAGAAGCTTAGGAAAGTGGCCTTGAGGGGACTCAGTGGTTAAGAGCGCTTGCAGATGACCTGGGTTCTATTCCCAGTGCCCATAACCGTCTATAACTCCAGCTCCTGGGGACCTCTGTGGCACAAGGTACACAGACATCCAGATACTCATAACACTCATACACATAAAATTAAGTAAGTCAATCTAAAAAGTGTTTGTGACACTTCTGTAAAGGCTACAACTACAGACCTTGATTTTAGGGCTTTGTTACGCTTTCTGGGATCCTGCTCTTTGTAGTGGCTTGGGGCTAGGCAGGCAGGATAATATACACACACATACATGAGTGCATACACACGCATGCACATACGTGCACACACACACACACACACACACACACACACACACACACACGCATGCATGTTCGCACACGTCCCCAGTGAGGCTGGCTCACTCAGGCCCCAGCCCTCACTCAGGTGAAAGATGGTCAGTGTGCAGATACACAAAGAACACTCTGGGCCCCTGTGCTCCCAATCTCCTCTTACCCAAATGTGACTCGGTCCACACTTCTGTCCACCTCAGTGGACTGGGCCACAGAGGCCTCAGGGTGGAGGATGGACACTCGGACCCTGCTGACAGTAACATGCTGGATCCTGTGAAGAGCCCACTGCACTGAGATGGCATTGGCTGAAACATTGGTGACATCGAAGTCTTCAATAGCACGGGGTCCTGCAGAGCAACAGGATGCTTAGTTGATGCCACACCTGCTCCTCCCTGCCCAGCCCAGTGCCTGCTCCTCCCTGCCCAGTCCCTTCCATGGCTAGGGACAGCCTCCCCTCCTAGGCAGTGGTGGCCAGGCCACCTTCAGGAACTCACGGGTTCGGACGGGCAGTACCACCGGCCTGCTGATATCGTTTTTGTTGTTGGTGTTTCGTTTGACTGAGAAAACGGAGATGTTGTAGGCCCGGCCGGCTGCTAGGGCCCGCAGCTGGTGAGAGGAGCGGCTCCGGTCCACGAAGTCTGTGCGCCGGGAGGAGCCGTCCGAGGAGGCGTAGGTGACTGCATAGCCATCTAGCATCTGTCTGGCCACGGTGCCCTCAGGTGGGCTCCAGGAGATGGAGACCCCGCTCTCCTCTACCCTCTCTACCCTGAGAGCTGTTGGTGGGAGGAGCTCTTCGGGATTGTCACCAAACACAAAGGAAGTGCCAGGGTTAGACTTTAAGCATGGACGAGTAGCTCCCAGTCAAGTCACCTAGATAGGTTCGGGGCCCTGATCACCGAGGCCACTGCTGGCAGGGAGCCTTCCCATTTGGGCTGCCATGGCCCTTGGAGGTTTGTGCTTCCACATGTGTGGCTGTTGGTGCCTCCTGCCTGCTCTCAAGAAGGGGACCTAGGCCCGCAGCTGTCTGCCCATCTTTCCCGCTTGGCCCCTGGCCTACCTCCTGGCCCCCTTGTCCTTCCCGGAGCCCCTGGCCCTCACCTTTGGTGCAGCCCTTGCCTGTGTAGCCCACTTTGCAGGTACAGCTGTGGGACCCGTTGCTGGCCAAGCAGTAGCCGCGGCCCCCACAGGGGCTAGAGAAGCAGGGGTCACTCACTGAGGGGGAGAAATAGCAGTGAGGAAGGCAATTGTTTGTTTGTTCCTAGGCTTCTTGCTGCATGGGTGGTGAGGGTCGGGGAGGAGTGGGGCGGTGTCATGGTCTCCCTGTGCCTTGCATAGCTAAGTGCTACCTGCCAGGCACTGCGTGGCCAAAACAAGCTTGGCTCTAGGGTGGTGGGAGGCTCCGTGTCAGGCTGAGACAGAGATCATTCTAGACAGTGACTAGTGGTGTCCAGGAGTACTCTGGTGCTGAGAGCAGGGATGAGCAGGAATGAACTGCTGTTGGCACCTGTGCCAATGTCAGGGAACGCCTGGTTGAGGGGTGGACCATGTGCTAACAGGGGGAAGGGTTTTCCACAGAAAGGACCGTGAGTGCAGGGCTCTGGGGACAAGCTCGGCCTGTCCAGGGACAGCAGAGCCAGCTAAGGTAGATATGGACTGAGCATGTGTCCCTGGAAGGGGAGGAAGGTGAAGGTGGCACCAGAGGGCCAGGGAAGGACCCTCAGGGAGCAGGTAAGCCCCAGATCCTACCTGTCTCGCAGTGGTAGCCAAAGAAGCCCTCTGGACACACACACAGGTAGGCCCCGCCACCGTCCTCACACCGGCCTCCGTGCTGGCAGGGGCTGGAGGCACAGGCGTCCACCTCTGGAGAACACCCAAAGGGTTGGCCCGAGCTGCAGGGAGGGACTCTGGGGGAGGGAGGAGAGGACAGCGGGAAGAAGGGATAGGGGGAGGCAAGGAGCAATGGCCAGGAGCGGGGTATGGCGCACCTGTGGGTAGGGGGGGCTCTCAGGAACCCCTGCCCCCACGCCCACTTTCCTTCCTCCCTCCAGGTCACCACAGCCTTGGGGGGTTCTTTCCCTGGGTGGCTTGTCCAGCAAGAGTATGGCTCCTGGCTCCCCTCAGATCTCCCAGCAGCCCTGGTTGTGTGGGACCCACCTGGAAGAACCCTACCTGTTTCACAGTGGCCTCCAGTGAACCCTTCAGGACACTGGCAGATGAAAGCCCCGGGGAGGTCCCGGCAGGAGCCTCCATTCCTGCAGGGTTGTGCTTGGCACTCGTCTGTCTCTGCATAGACAGGGTGGCACCTGCTCACGTTGGCGCTCCCTGCATGCCCCCCATGATTCTGATTGCTCCACAGCCTTTCTTCTGTCCTCTGCCCATTTCCAACAAAGCACCCGCGACAGTCTTGTCGCTGCTCCTGTACTCCATGCTTGAGGACTCCAGCATTGGAGACAACTGGAGACAGCTCCTGGACTTCGCCCTTCCAGCAGCCGCTGTCTGGTTTCAGGGCTTAACAGGCATGAGGACGCAGATCTCACCCTGACATACACTCTCCAGGGGTCAAGGGCTGTGACCTGCCCATCTTCTCTGCCTACCTCCAGGCCTGAGTCTGATTGCTAGGCCAGTGATTTTCAGATGTCCCCAGGGCAGGAGGGGACAGGAAATTTTTAAACCTTTCCTGACCACCTGAATGGCCCTAAGAGAGCCAGCGGTGAATGGGGTGAATGGGGTGAATGGGATGGGAGCTCTGTCCAAGGGAAGGGATGGTGGAACAAGGTGGCGATGCTTGGGAACCCCAGTGACCTGAGCAGGCCTCTTACCTAGCTCACAGTGGACTCCTTCATACCCCGGGCTGCAGAGGCACTGGTAACCAGCAGTGAGATCCTGGCAGGAGCCTCCATGCAGACATGGCTGAGACTGGCACTCATCTACTTCTAAGGAGAGATCCCGAGAACAAAGCAAGGCGGCCATTATTAATCTAGATGCAGATGGATATGAAGTAGCGCTGCGGTCTCTGGACAAGTTTACAATAGTTGATACTCAGAGGCCAAAGCAGGGTTATCCATGGAGGTCTCATGCCTGGCTGGTATCTACAAAATGACTGTGGTTGCTTCTGGACCACTCAAGAGTCTCTGAAGGCCCCTCTGGACCCACAGCCTCCAAGGTTTGGCAGGAAATGCCTGATGTTCATCCTCGCTATTTCTGTGACTAGCGCACACGTGCGAAATTAGCATGTCTGGGGGACAGTCCGTAGCTTTACAAGGTTCTCCATATGCTGCTTTTAAACGGGGAGTTGTGCTCCTGAATTTGAATGTTCCAGTTGAGAAAAGTCTAATGTCACACTTGAGAAGTGAATAAATGGTGGGGGCTGAGGAGGCTCCTCCGTGCTTACAGGCATCCATTGCTCTCGCAGAGGACCCAGGCTTGATCCCCAGCACCCACACGGTGTCTCTGTAACTCCAACTCCAGAGGATCTTCCTCTTCGCCTCCTCAGGAACACACATGTGTACATACACAGCGCAGGCAAAACACTCATACACACGAAGTGCAAAATACACGTATGATCTAAATGTTACTTTTGAAAAGGAATTGAATGTGATGCTGGGACCAGAAGCCAGAGTGGTATTCACCCATTGGCTTAGGGCCCCTCCGTCCGTACGTCACCCGACACCTGCATGTGTTCTGGAGTATTGAGATTAAAGGTGCGCACCACCACTCCCGGCCCTAAAATCATTTCTTAAAATGTTCTGAATCGCCTAAACGAGACACGGCCTTGTTTTCTTTACCTCCGAGCTTTATTGGCAGATGCTACGACAGGCGCTGTTTCTCACTGAACATTTCATTAGTAGGAGACCTCCATATTGGTACAGGTCGCCGTGGTTCACCACTTCCCCTGCCGTTTGATGCTCCATAGTTGCTCATAGCATATTCCATCCTCACTTATTTGGTGAGCACTTGTGTTGGTGACGACAAAAGCTGTGGCTGTAGAGGTTCTCTGAATACCCTGGTGTAGGCAGGTCGGTTTCTTAGGTTTACCAGGAAATGGGATTGCTGACACATAGGCTGTGTCGGTAGTCAGCAGCAAATTGCCCAATTATTTCCAAGCGTTTCTGGCAACTTACAGTCCCGCCAGCATTTGGCTAAGCTCAAGTGTGGTTCCTCTAGCAATTGATAAGAAAATTTGTTGTCCGTGTTCTCACCAACAAGCTTCCAGACGTCTGAAATGTGGCCCCTAAATTCATGTAGCTGTTTGATTTGTACATTTGCATTTCCCCGGTTACTGTGCAGAAAAATGCTCATTTTCATGTCTGTTGGCCGCATAGCCTCATATATGAGGACATATATATATATATATATATATATATATATATATATATGTATGTATGTGTGTGTATGTATTTATATATATATATATATATATATATATATATATGGCCTCATATCTTTTCATATTGATCCATAGGCGTCCTCCGAGTAGTCTTGAAGTTAGCGCTCTCTCTCTCTCTCTCTCTCTCTCTCTCTCGCTCTCTCCTGTCGCTCTCCCCACTTAACTCATCTATCTATAATAACACATACACACCCTCTCACTTTCTACCTTTCATAGCACTTTCATTTAAAAATTGGATTTTCACAATATTTAGTTCATTTAAAATGATTTTCTCCCTGACTTGCGGTTTATGTAATTTTGTCATACTGTGACTTTCTCTATTGTATCCATTCTGTTGGAAATCTAGTTTAATCCAGCCTATTCCAGTAATCACCAACTGCACTTTCAGTCTAGAGTCTCTATTTTGCCATTTACATTTCTTTATTCTCTCATTCATTTGGGCTTTCTTTTTTTTTTTTTTTTAAATATTTTTATAGCGGCATTTTAAAATCCTTGCATGTGAGACATCTGTAGATCTGTTTCAATAATTTCTTCTCTAACTTCTGGTTCCTCAGGCAGACTGTCAACAAACACAGTACAGACCTAAGTAGGGCATTTCCTGCCTGTTCTCTGTCCTCTGCCTTGCAGCCTGGAGGAGCTGCCTGCCCCCGATGTTCTGGGTCAGACTCTACACTCTCTTTGTACACAGCCTGTTCCTCCCCTTTCCGAAGAAGCTCTCCCAACTGTCTTTCAACTCACCAACTTACTCTTCATCAACATCCTTTTATAAATTATGCCGGTTACTTCAACTGTGGTGGTTTAAAGTCTCATCTTTCGACTTGCTTTTACAGCGTGGCTTACTGATTGATCCATCTCCTTGCACATGGTCAATGCCATATGAACTTCTGCATACCGTCACTACATATGGTGCAATATAAAATGCGCATAGTAGACGGATATCCTTTTGTGCCACTTGGCCATCTTCTGAATTTCTGTCTCCAGTGTTAGCTGCTATGTGGACACCCATCACTGCTTTTGGAGGCTGTGCTTCTCAGGGTCTTTGTTCCTTGCTGGAGCCCCCTCCTTTTCAGGGTACGACGCCTGGCAATGGGTTGAGGAGATGTGGAACAGAGAGATGCACTCTCCTGAGCACCATGGGGCTTGGGAGGGCAGGAGTGGAGGACAGACGCCCAAGGCCCGGTGGTCCTCGGCAGAACTCTTTGTCTTGGTGGGTTGAGCTTCTCCGGGAATTTGGGAAATGGTAATTGTCATAGGTGCTGTCCCTGTGTCTGTTTCATGAGAATTGTGTTATGATCACACAGTTCCTGGCGGCAGAGCTGCACACTCAGGCTTGATGCTATGCACTTCGCAGCTCTAGTGTTTCAGAGAGAATGGCCCTGTCTCCGGGACAGAGCCATGTCGGGACTATGGAGAGGGTGCTGTCTGGAACAGCATCCTCCTGTGCATATGTAAGGGCTACAGTTTTGTTTAAGTGCAGCTTGATTTCACAGGTCTGGGCGGGGTCCTGAACTGAAATCCATCTGCTTCCCTTAGGCCCTAGCCCTTGGATTAAGTCTTGGACTCAGCTGCTTTATCTGCAATATGGGTCTGCAGCTGTCTGATCTGCTCTTGGTTGCTCCGAGGACAAGGAAGCCCAGAGCAAAGCTGACAGCCATCACCCCTGTCACCACCTCTATTTACAGAGAGGAGATAGGGGAGGGGCGTGTGTGCAGGCTCTGTGCAACTTCATATGGCTGCCAGAGAAAGATGTTGGCCCTGCCCACCCATCCCTGAGGGCCCACAGAATCACCAATGCACTGGGGAGGCTGGCTCCAGACACCTTGTGGCTGGCAGATACGCATATGGCTGAGGGCACTCGGGCTGAAGCCACGGTCACACGTGTACAGGGCCACTGAGCCCACGTGAGTTCCATTGAAGCGCATGGTAGCATGCTTCACCTCCTCAGGGCGACCACAGTCCGCCTCTGCAAGAGAGCATCAGCATTTCCTGAGCATCAGCTGGCCCACTTAGTCCCACCTCCTAGGTGACCAGGGAGGCCTGGCTTCTACACCACCTGCTCAAGGGGACAGGGTTTGGCCTCCGGGAGCTGGCACCTCCGACACTGATTTTCCCTTTCACACAGTGCTTTGAATGAGAATGGCCCCCATAGGCTCAAATATTTCAGTACCGGGTCTCCAGCTGGTGGGACTTTTGGGAAGGATCAGAAGGTGTGACTTTGACAGAGTTTGTGTCACCAGAGGCAGGCTTTGAGGTTTCTAAAGCCAATGCATTCCCGCTTAGCTTTCTCTTTCTGACTCACGCTTGTATATGGGGATGTCAGCTGTCAGCTACCATGCCCCCTGCCGTGATGGCCATGGACTCACCCTCTGAACTGTAAGTCCCCAACAAACTCTTCTGTAAGTTGCCTTGGTCATGGTGGCGCTTTGTGACAGCAGCAGAGAAGCAGGACACCACCCCTACCCCGCCCAGTTCTTAGGGGATCTGGAAAAGATGCCCTGCTCCCAGCCCACCCGCCTGGCTCTCACCTGCCTGACACCGGTGTCCTGTATACCCCGGCTGGCAGCGGCAGAAGAAATCTGCCCCTCGGTCCTCACAGGTACCCCCATTCATGCATGGGCTCCGGAAGCAGGGGGAGGGGGCTGCAAGGACACAGAAGACCCCCCTCTCACCATGTTTCCCTTGAGGTCCTCTGTGTTGTGTGGAGGCGCCCCCTGCTTCCTGTGCTCAGCCCGCCTCCCACCCCTCCCAGCCCAGCTCTGCCCCTTGAGGCAGTTCTCACATGCGCTGGGGGGGGGGCATCCCTGGCTGCCCCCACCTTACCTATCTCGCAGTGCCGCCCAGAGAAGCCTGGAGGGCAGTCACACTTGTATTTGCCAATGTAGTGAAAGCAAGTGCCACCGTTGTGACAGGGGCCGGAGGCACAGGAGTCTGGCTTTCCTGGAAGCAGAAGACACCCATCAGAGTCAAGGATCGTGGATGCCAACCCCTCTAGGTCCCTGCCACCCCAGAAACAAAACCTTCATGCACATGTTCCTGAGAAGCAAGTGCCTGGTGGTTAGGGTTTGGCCAGCTGGATTCTGCTGGCTCAGCCCTAGCTCAGAGCATGCCCATGACCACCCACCCCTGCCCTGGGGCCGCACCAATCTCACAGTGTCTCCCGGTGAAGCGGTAAGGGCAGGTGCAGTGGTACTCATTGCCTGTCTCTTTGCATGTGCCGCCATTCCGGCAGGGCCCTGAGCTGCAGAGGTGTGGCCGGGCTGTGTGCAGAGGCAGAGAGATATGGTGAAGACGGGCCACTCTCCTGGTTGTGCAGAATCCTTGTTACCACGCCCTGCCTTTTCAGTCCTTTGGCAGGTACTGGACAGGCCTGAAGTCAGACCTGCTTTTCAGCTGTGTCCCAAGGCCCAACGTATCAGGGGCTAAATCAGCCAGGCCTAAACTAAAGGTGAGTGGAGCTCACAGGCTACAGGCCCTGAGCCTGCCAGCTTTCTCCTTGCTGGAGAGTTGAACCCTGAGTCACAGCAGACACATCCAGAATCTGTCCTGGAAGGGCAGCCACAGCATTCACAGCTCTACAGGATATCCTTTCCAAACCCACACCCTCTCCAGGCCAGGCTCACAGAACCCAGTGCCCCTCTCTCTTCATTCCTCTGCCACAAATGCACAGGTCTCCCTCACAGCAGATTCTGGAAGGGCCCTGTATGGGGCTTCAGGGATAGCCATGCAGAAGGCCTTCCCTTTAGCATCCCTCTGTGCTGCTTCAGGGACAGAAGTGAGGGACTCCCACATGTAAGTCAGAAGCCTGCCCTGGGGTATGCGGTACACAGCAGGGGAGGTGATATGGGGAGACCTCTCATAAATCTCCTGAACAGCCAGGCTGTGGGATGCCAGAGCCCTGAGTCAGGTTACAAAGGATGCCTGAGATGCTCCGTTTGTGAGAGTGTGTTACTGCACGAAAGGGTGGCCCTGATCCAGATGGCAACGCTGCATGCATTGTGAAAGAATACTTAAATTATAAGCAGTTTAAATGTAAAATGTGTGCATTCTCTGTGTTAAACTAAACAAAATCCGAATGAAAAAAAATTAAGTTCGATATAATCATTCTAAAACCTATTTGGAAAAATACTGAGGGGAAAAATGAAGCCTCTTGGGGCATGCAGGCTAGTGATGATGAAATGCCGTGACCAAAGTGAGGAAAATAACTCAAAAACAGCGAGGCACACGCCGCCCTGGATGTGTGGAGCCTAAAGGAAGCTCCAGAGTTTCCAATGGAAGAGCGAAGGCACGGACCGCTGTGGGCTTGCCGGCTGGGAGCTCTCCATGGTGCTGACGGCGGAGAATGGGAAGGCGCACGCCCCGCCTCTCCCCGCGCCCCGCCCCCAGCTGCGCTCCAGCGCACACCCCTCCCTCGCCCCACTTCCCTTCGAGTCCCGCATCACCTTTCTCGCAGTGCCTGCCGTGGAATCCACGTGGGCACTCACACGTGTAGGAGTCGTCGTGGGCGTCACAGGAGCCTCCATTAAAGCAAGGGTCGGAATCGCAGGGTGACGGCAGAGCTGGGGGGGGGGGAGGAAATGCTTGCCCGGGGTCATCTTGACACCCCTTCTGGCTGAAACGAGGCCACTTGAAATACAGTCTGGGTTGCTCACCTTGGCCCTAAGGCCTCACCCCCCACCCCCCACCCCCACCTACTCTGATTTTAGCAACTTTCAAGCTTTCTTTCTAACAAGATAACTTTGATCATTCCTTTAATTGCACACTACTTAACTGATCTGTGCCTTTACCCTAAAGGTAGTAAATGCACCAGTCACGCAAATTGTGTATGGATTATGGCCTGAAGGAAAGTAGCTTGTGGTGATGTATCTCTGTCAAGATGTTTTCCCTTAGGGAGTGAGGGCGACCCCGGCGAATACAGCAAGTGAAGCTGTTGTTTTCACTGTTGTCAGAGCCTCCGCACCTGCAGGCTCTTCCGTTAACCCTGGTTCTGCACCCTTTTCTGCTAGACCTGGTGGCCTGTCCCTAGCCACTCACAGTGGCTGATGTTGTGGTCTGTGTGGCAGACACACAGGTAGCTCCCACCATACTCCATGCAGTAGCCTCCGTCTGGACACTGTGTGTTCATGTTGCAGGGCGTGGCTGTGACTTCTGTGAAGGAAGAGGCTCCTTTAGTGCCCATTCATCTTCCCAGGGAACCTTCTTGGCAAAGGTGCCCCCACCCTGTGCCAAGACCCAGTGACCCTGCTAATGACATCCAGGGATCAGGCAGGAAGCCTACCAAATTCACAAAGGAGCCCAAAGAAGCCTGGAGGACACTGGCAGAGGGTGGTGTTGGCCCCCAGGCAGCTGCCACCGTTCCGGCACTCACAGTCATTAGGAATTCCTGTGTGGGGATAGGGGAGACACTTCCATGGGCAAAAGCTTCTCTGCCTTAACCCTGGCCAATCCTGGTTACTCTCCCATGAAACTGCTGAACATACACACACACACACACACACACACACACACACACACACACACTTCTTTTTTCTACATGGAGTTTCCTGCGTGTATGCGCTAAGGGAGAACCCTCCCCGACTGTGCCCACCTCCCTTCTCCTGCCCGGCCCAGGGACACAGTCCTGGCAGTCCCCACATACTCTCTCTGCAGTCCAAGCCCACGAAGCCTTCAGGACATTCACACACATATCCCTGATCCGCTTCTACACAGGTACCCCCATTCTGGCAGGGACTGGAGAGGCAGGGGGAAGGCACTGGGTAGCTCCCTGCAAGAAAGACAGCGGTTAGTAGCAGTCACGTGAGAGAGACGAGAATTCTGGGGCAAGAATAGACGTGGCTGCTGGCTATGGAGGACAAGCTGGCCTCCTTGTGGGTGTTCCCACACATGTTCTCAGTGCCAAGGGGGATGCATGCCAGTCGCTTGCTTATCTTCTGGGAGCCAGCCTGACCCAGACTCCTCTCTTGGGACACAAACATCAGCACTGAACCGCTGCCCAGAGAGAGCATGTGTACATCAATGGTCAGACATCCCTGCTGGTACATGGGTAAGAATTTCCAGTGATTATTAGTTTAACTATTGTGGTTTTAACTCACCGGAACTTATTATACGCCAGTCATAATGACACTTCGTGAGTATTAGGGGAAAAAAAAAGTGCTCTGCAAAACTTAAATCCATAACCAAGAACCAGGCTGAGCTGCGGGAATCCAGTCGCAGAGGGAGAAGGGAATATATATAAACAAGGGAGGTCAGGATCATGAAGGGGGAATCTACAGAGACAGCTGAACCAAGCTCCTGGAAACTCATGAATTCTAGACCTACAGCGGTGGACACTTCAGGGGACCAAACTAGGCCCTCCATATGTGGGAGACAGTTGTGAAGCTTATCCGAGGGGCCCCTGGAAGAAGGACCACGATACAAACCTGGTACATGATGTGGCTTGTTGAAGCCCAATGGTGGGATGCCATGCTCGGACTTAATGCATAGGACAGGGGCCTGACCCTGTCCCAACCTATTGGGTCGGACTATGTTGACTCCTCGTGGGAGCACTTACCTGTGAGGCGGAGTGGACTGGGGGTGGGCTAGTGGGGAGGTAAGGGGGTGGGAGGGAGAATTGTGGTTGGAATGTAAGTTGAAATAAAATAAAATGAAAAAAAAATCTTCCTCTTCTCATTATGTTTTCCCACCCTTAACAGTCTTGAGAATATGCAGCCTATTTTTATTGGTTGATTATTTGTATCGGGCAATTCTTTCATCTGCCTGTAAGTTATATTTGACTTCTTTGAATTCATGCCCGATGACTTCAACAGGGTCATTTTGGATGTTGGTTTCTGTCAGATTCCTGTTATGCTGTGGTAAGCCTATAGGATTTTATTCTGCACATGGCTAACACTTGGAGTCTGCTGGCCCTCCCACATTCCCTTCTGAGGGTTATTGGGGGCAGACCCAGCCAGTGTAGTCCTCTAGCAACTTACTTCTTCCTCTCCCAAAGTAGCTCTTGCTAAGGAAGGATTCTACTCAACCCTGACCCAGGGTGTGGTCTCTCTGATCTCCACAGCTCCTTGGGTTTCTTCCCAGTCCTGATTGAGCCAGGGGAGCTGCTAGACTTCCTCATTTCCAGTGGGTCTTTCCCAGCCTAGTAGATTTCATGACCCAGATCAGCTAAGTCAAGACAGAGGGGCCTCCAGCTGTCCTGCTCTTCCGCCTCTGTATTTCAGCTGCTGTTGCATTGGATTTTCTCAGTTCAGAGGAGCTGGTTTCTTGGACTTACACCATGGCCTGAGGTACCCCAAGCAGGATCTGGGGGCCAAGGATAGGCTTGCTCTGGACCCTTCTCTCAGGATGATAGCTCTAAAGCTGAAGACAGGAATTTTGTAGATTTTTGTCTGGGTTTTTTTTTTTTTTTTCTGTTAATTGTAAAAGGGGGGAATTTCCAGGGCAGTTAACTAGCAGAAGACTAGATAATCTTTTTTTAAAAAATATCTAATTCTGACCAAGTTCTTGCGATTAGACCCATTGTTTAATGAGCTTACGCTACTTATAAGGTAGCTGTCTCCATTCTGTTATTTTTATTTTTTCCCACCCACCACATCTTTAAAAGCAAAACAACAACCGAGTATCATTATGTTGCTCTGGCCGGCATTTTAACACTTGGGTTCAATTAAGCCTTCTGTGTCGCCATCCTTTTTTGGCATAAAACTTAGTGAAAATACGCTGATCTTTCTATAACTACTCGGCAAGGTAGTTATTGAGCCATACAATGGGCATCTGAATAAGGTCAGCAAGTGACGGTGCTACACCGCTTCCTGCCCTCAGGTCTTCATCCTGTCCATCCATCGGGGTCTCCCCGTGGGTACACTGTGAACCCCAAACTCGGCCAGGCTTTGAGGGTTAGACGCTGCAGAGTTTTAATCTTCTTTTTACACCATGCTTTGCAATCTCTAGTTGGCCTGGCCTTTGATCTACCAAGGCACAGCCAACACTTAAAACACGAGACAGGGTAGAAAAGAGTGTATTTGGTCCCATGTGACAAAGGCCAGTTTTCTCTCTGATCCCCACAGCTCTTTTCCCTGTGTGCCAGGAAAGGGAAGGTGCTAAAAAGCCTAGAATCCTCTGAGTTGAACAAACGGTCTTGGGGATATTGTCAGCTGCCCCTGATCTTATAGATGGAAACCGATGCCCGGAGAGGAGAAGGCCTGCCCAGCCTTGTTTCTCATTCTCATCCGTTGGTGGCTCTGGAAGGGCTGGGAAGTTGGGTCAGGAAAGATGAGTGTCTAAAGTGATCGCCACTGCACAAGTTACAGTCATTGTAGAGGACTATGTGGGAGCTACCTGTCTCACATCGAGGTCCCTCAAAGGGCTCCACACAAACACAGCTGTAGTTCCCAACCAGGTCGACACAGGATCCTCCATTCAGGCATGGGTCAGGGTTGCATTCATCCACATCTGAGGGCAGTAAAGAGAGGGGCTTTAGCTTAAGCCAGACTGTGACCACCCTGCACCTAGCCAGAGGGGAGCCCTCCCATGCACTTCCTATCGCTCACAGCTCTCCGCATCCTGTGGGAAGGTCACTCACCTGTCTCACAGGTGGCCCCAGTGTACCCAGCCTGGCACACACAAGCTGCAGAGCTGCTCTCTGCCTGGCACCGGCCGCCATTTTGACACACTTTGTTGTCACACGGAGACTGGGCTATAAGTAAGGAGGAGTAGACAGGATATTGGAGTCCTGGCTGCAGCGGGCTGATTGAAAGAAGTCCCTGAGGACATGATCCAAGCCTCATCCTAGACGGACCTAGTCTCCATGAAAGGGGATCCTGGTTGTCTCTGGAGGGTGACAGGCTGGAAGGAGGCCTGGCTAGGGTAGTTCTGAGGGTACCCAAGGCTCTGTATTAATTGGTTCTAGTTCAGCAGACCTGGGATGGCATGTGTGCAGAATAGCATGTCAGGGAGACTGGAACTAGCTTCTGCCATACATCCCAAGAGGGTTTCTGGAACCTGGGGCTTCCAATCTGACTCAGTGGCTAAGGAGCCACTCTCAAATCTCAGAGGCGGAGTCCTCCCTGGACAGCATGGTGGTAACCTTTAGGGTCTCCCTGGGCTTTGGCAGGTGGACAGAGCAGTAGACCATGCGAGTATCCACAGTAGCACCCACACCTAGCTCTGCTGGTGCAGGGAGGACAAGGAGGGCCTAGCTTCTGCTTGAGGAAAAGCTCTTTAGCCTGGGATGCATTCCAACCATCCAGGCTCTGGGTTGGGCAGGAACAATGTGACCCTGTCCACTCAAACCCCGTTTACCAAATAGAAATCCCATCTTCGTATGCACTTAAAAATCACATTTCCAGCTTGGTGGTGGTGGCACAGCCTTTAATCCCAGCACCCGGGAGGCAGAGGCAGGGGGATCTCTGTGAGTTCGAGGTCAGCCTGGCTGACGGTTCCTTTTCCTTTCTTTCATGAACTTGTTCCTGCGTGTACAATCCTCTTAACTGTCATTCAGCTACAGTTTTCTCAAGTGTATGTACTCTGAAATCAAACACTTAGCTTCTTGTGACCATAAATCTTGACAGGATTATTTTTGTAGACTGAGGTATTGAGATGGAAACTGTTTGAACACACTCGATCTTAGTCCTAGTTTCTTAAACTGTGAATTGCAAATCCCATATGTGGTTGCGTAACTGAAATCGGATATTGTGAAAAGTTTGCAACAGTAAAATACTTGTGAATGCATAGCTAAAAACTCAGAATGAAATGCATAATGGATCTGAGGTGGTTTTGGCAGTGTGCCTCGGGTTGACTCTCGGCTTCACCGCTGTCTTGGTCCTGAACACAGCATGCACACTTTGCTCTGCAAAGGCCATCGTGCCGGGGCAAGACCAGTGAACACTGCCCCAAACCCATCATCACAGATTTCTTATCGCACACGTGAGGCTCTCCTCTCTAATACAAACATAACGTCTTACAGAAACACAGACTTTCACTGCTTTCCCACAACCCTTCCTCAGCAAGGAAGTATCGATTCGTATTATCTTGAATTGTGTGATCTTAAAGAGAACTTGAGTTTGTGGAGCTCTTTTTTTGTTTTTATTTTTGTTTTTTGGAGTCAGGCTCTGTCTACAGAGCCCCAGGTGACCTGTAGAGCATGCTGGCTCTGAACTCAGGGAGATCTGCCTGCCTCTGCTTCCAAGTGCTAGAACGAAAGGCCGCCATGCCTGGCCTGAGGGTGTGCACATGCATGTGAGTAGTGCCCAGGGGTTAATCAAATACTCAGCCACAATTTAATTCTTTATGTAAAATGAAGCACATATACCTTGTTAGTATACAAATTTGCTTTCACGTTTTTTTTCCCCCTTACATTTTATTTTTTTTAGAAATGATCTCTCAGGAGCCCACCTTGTGCCTTCCCCGACTGTGAGAGCCTTGGAGGGTTCGTTTAGGGACCAGTGGATTGGGTGGTAGAAAGCAGATGCTCTGTGAGCATATGCCTTGCTCCTTCTTGTGTCAAAGCTGTCCCAGCTGTCCCAGAAATCCTCCACCTTCTCACTCCCAGAAGACGCCTGGCTCTGAGCCTGGGCTCTCATCGATTCCAAAACTTCATCCCTGACCTAGGGCCAGGAAGTCTGTGTCTGTTACACTCACACATATTCACTCCTGCCCACGCAGTAAGACAGGCCTTCCCCGTGACTTGAGGCTCCTGCACACCCTCATGACAGAACTCTCTAGGCTGCCCACGCTCGGGTCAAACCCTGCTACCGTCCTCGGTCTCGCTCTTACCTAGCTATGCTGCCTTGGGTCTTGCAGCGAGCAGGGTTGGGGAGTTCTTACCTGATTCACAGGTGAGTCCCTTGAAGCCGGCGGGGCACTGGCAGCTGAAGCTGTTGACACCATGGGTGCAGGTCCCACCGTTTAGACATGGGTGGGAAGCACACTCGTTCACATCTGAAACATGGAGCAGGCTGCGGCCTCAGTGGAGGAAACTGCCAGGGCTTGGGTAGGGGTGGAGGATGGACTAAGCCCGAACCCAGACAGGCCAGGAGTGGCGGCAGCTGCAGCACTCGCTGGCACGTGTCCCTAGCGTGTGACCTCCATCAGTTTCTACATCGTGAGTACAGAGACCGTGGACCTCAAAGCCACTGTCAGTATTCCCCTGAGCCTGGCACATGACCAGTGGGTGGGGGAGTGATGTGGTACAGGGAAATCAGTGGGCACCTTGTCCCTGCCTGGGTGCCAGTGACTCACCCAGGTGGCACCTCCGCCCTGTGAAGCCAGCGAGGCAGGAGCAGGTGTAGGAGGGGTTGCCTGTGACACAGTCATCAATGCACTTGCCACCATTGAGGCACGGACGCAGGACCAGGCACACAGAGGCTGTGGACACAGGAAAGGGCCCAAGCCTCATGCCACTGCATGTGGAACGTGGGCAGAAGAAGCCATCTGCAATGGCTATGTCTCCCTTCCAAAGGGTCAGTTTAGTGGCCATGACGTTGGTGACAGTACATGTTTGTGTTCAGTTTCTGGGTCTTTGAGCTGGGGTCCAGTTCTCTTGCCATGGTCTCTTGCTGATCATTAGTGTCCTAGGCTCTGACGCTGGCTTCCTATGGAGGCTCGTCCCCAGAATCACCTACACACCCAAAGCTCCTTCTCTCATCTCTATGCTTTCCACTCGGCCGCAGACACTTGGAGGGTGCTCAGCTACACTCCCTCCCGGTTTCCTCACACGTAAAACAAGAAGCTAGCACTTAGTTGTCACAGTCAGTGTTTATCACAGCATGGCCTCTTAAGAAGGCCTCCCTGGGTTCCCCTGAGACCTCAGCAACCCCCAAACTCAGTCCTGTGAGGTCAGGCTGGGCTCCTGAAATAAGAGGTTAATCGCACGTTGGCAGGTGATCAGAGTCTCAGGGACTCCAATCGCCTGTTGCTAGGCGAGGACCCCAGGGAGGACCAGTGATCCACCATACCCTTCAGACTGTGGGCGTCTTCTGACCAGGGAGCTTACCTTTCTGTCAGCTGGGATCATTAGCAGCACTGTGCTCACAGGGTCTACTTGAAATGTGGCTGCCCTTTGCAGCCATGGCCGCAAAAGGAGCTGGGCATGCTTAGGCTTTAGACTTCCAGACACAAGGCCCCGCCTCTCAGGCACCATCCACCCTCCCTTCTGAGCAGGGACGTGCTTATATAACACCTCACAACCGCCCCCTGGGCTTTCTGGATAGCTGTATCCCTAACTCTGGGAGGCGCCATGGCACCGAGACATCTCTGCAGCCATGGGAAGGCACCTGGGGAGCATCCTGGCTGTATGCTTTTCTGAGAGTCCCCCTCCCTCCGAGCTGTAGTGCCTGAAAAGCATGCTTTGCCCATATGTGCCCCCTGTTCCTCAACCAGAACCTAACCCTCTGGCCTTTGGCAAGGGGCCTGACTTCCCAGCCCCCACTGCAAGCAGCCCCCACAGGACGACTTGTGATGCCGCTGGCCAGAGTCCTGGTGTCAGAGCTGACTGTTAGCCAGGAGCAGGGCTGGGGCTGCCCTCTTAAGAGCTTGCTGCTCTGGGCTGGCATGGTATGGAGTTCAGCTTTGGCTTCCCAGGCTGGCCTGCATTGTACCCAGCATGCCAAGCGTGTGCCAGCCTCTCCTTCCCTGGCCTTGCATGTCCTGAGTACACTCATCCTCATCTTGGCTTTCACGGGGGCGGGGGGGGGGTCCCCTGACCTGCAGCTGCTCTGTGTGGTCTCCCAGCTGAGTTTTCTTCAGGGGACTCAGTGCCAGGGAACAGCACCCCCTTTTTTTGTAGCCTCATGATCAACACGTTTGTGGGGTGGGTCCCAGCAGGGACATGTCTTCAGCTCAGGGTTAGGAGGGTTTGTGATGAAGGGATCTACTGATCGGCAGGTCAGCCAGCCAGTATTTTGACACCTCTGCATGGTGGGCAGCGTGTTTCTGGGCACCACCTCCTAGAGGCCACATGGTGGTAGAGCTGGAGGTTCCTGAGTGGGCACGCAGCCAATCTGTGCAACCACGGCCATCTGGTCGCCTGCACTACTCCATCAGAAAGACCACTCCATTCTCCCGCTTGCCATTACCATCAGGCCCCGGTCCCCCCGACCCTCACCCCTGAGGTAGAGGCAGGGGAATGTGGGCAGGGGCAACCCTGCTCTGACCCTCTCCCAAGAAGACCCAGGTCACCTAAGGCATGGGACAGGATGGGCTGTGGGGTAAGGAGAGTGGGTTGGGACTTAGGGAGGTGGGGGATAGGTTCTAGCCCCTGAGCACCCGCCCCTACTGCCACAGGGTTCCTCAACCCTCCCCTCCCTGAGCCTCTTACTTGTATGGCCGCAGCCCCCCACGCGCACCTGGGCATCATCGATTCTAAACGCCCAGCGCCCGGGCACGCCCACGTTGGTGGTGGTCTCCACCTCAGCCATGTCTGCTGTGCGTGACCCAGGGATGTTGAAGTAACGGTGCCCATCACCTGCGTTGAAACCAGCCTGGGGGCGGGGCAGAGAGGGAGGCAGGTCTCCTTACACTCACTGAGTCCCCTCTGAGGATGGCCAAGCCAAGGATGGTGGAGAGATGGCCTTGTAAGCAGAGGACACTGTGGATGTTGCGGTTTGTTGACTTCAGCAGCCCCTCCGGTCAAGCAAGCGTGGTGCTGGACTTCCTCCCTAGCTTCCAGCACCCCCCCCCCCACACTCAGCATCCAGGGCCCAAGAGAAGTGCCGCCCCAGGAGAAAGTTGGGGTCCAGAAGTGATGGAAGGGCACAGCCTTCCTGACCCATTTGGGACAGAGTCACTGTCTGTCACAGACTGACCTCTGCATAAGCCTGGAAGGTCTGCTACAGTGAAGGTCTGCCTACCCCTCGTGCCCCTCGACACCGGGCACCAGTTCGATCCTGGCCTACCTGGGCTGCGATTCCTCCCAGGCCGTCAGCATCACCCCCGCTGCTGGCGTGTGTGCCTGTGGTCCACAAGACAGACTCATAGTTGAAGATGGTGAAAGAGAACCTGCCGTCAGTGATGAGCACTATTTGGAATGTGTTGACCTGCCAGGAGAGAGGACTAGTGTGACTGGCTACACTCGCTGCCCCACATCAAAGGCCCCTCTCCTCCGAATGAGCAGCCAAGCAAGGTAGGGCCATGGTGGCTTTGACTATCTCTACAGCCTACCCTGCGTTGTTAAGGGACAGGGTGAGAACACCTGGAGCAGACACTGTCCCCAACCCCTAGGGGCTCATGCTCCTGCAGAGGCTGGGGTACACCCCTCACCCCCAGCCAAACCCAAAAGTCTGTGCGCTAAGAACAGAAACAAAGAGGAAAAGCAGCTTCTAATGTTAGGTTTTGTGGTTTGACTCCATGAACATCCCTGAGTAGTGTACCCTAAGAAAGCATTTCAGATCAGGGTGAAGAAATGATCTCAGGAAACTAAAAAAAAAAGGGCAAAGCTAACATCCCGCCCCGCTTCATACCATGCGTGAAAACAAATCCCAAATCAGGTTTGGATTTAAAACAAACATCATGGAAGTCCTAGAAGAAAACAGTGAGCAATACACATTGCGTCTCAGGGAAGAACTTCTGTGCTGTCCACTAATAGCAAAAGAGCGATCGATACATTTACCGGCAAAAGACTGAGTGAGAAAGTGCTGTGATATCGAAATGAATGGCGGACAGTAGCAAAAACTGTATTCATAACATATGGCAGCTAGAACTGCTGGTAACCTTCATATCCAGAAGAACTTAGAACAATAGAAAGGGGCCAAAAGTATTAAGAAAAGTTGGCAGAAGGTATGAACAAGTCGATTAGCACATAATACCATAGAAATGATACTAGAAAAGAAATTCCAACATCTGTAGAAGCCAGAGATATCTAAGTTTTAAAAAAGCATTCCTTGTTTTACCTGCATGCTAGCAAAGAAGGGAGAGGGCAGCGCACTTATCTGGGGTGCAGGGAGCAGGCACCTCCAGATGACACTGTAGGACACTCTGAGAGGGCAGCAGGCTGCCCGCCGGTGTGTGTTGCAGTAGGATCTCCAATGGCCATGCATCAGGCACGGTAGGACATGGGCCCCTCTCACAGTCCAAGCTTGTTTCAATCATTGGAAACAATGAAAAGCCGAACCGGCATCATTCTTGTGTAAAATTTGGCAGGAGAGACAGTAAACAAATGCTAATTCTTTGTGTGGGTGGCAGGAAGGGCGATGGTTACAGAGGCCAGCGGTGCAGCCATGAGATGCACAGAGCATCCCCACCCACCCGGTGTCGATGAAACTTCCCAACACATTCTGCCTGGAGAGACTGCTCTTGTGAGCATATCCCAATGTCTGCTGTCTTTGTTAGGGACCTGCATAAGCCCCACCGTGTGGGCTTGTCTGGTGGGTTCTCTCTAGGGTTGGCATCCAGTACTTGGGACACTGCCTGCCACCCTGGGGGGTTTAGTATACAGAAAAGGCCTATGCATGATAAGTGCTGGAAAATACCTGTCTGTGTGGGCAGCTCAGCCAACCACACTCACCAAAGACATAAAGGGCTCCAGCCACTCCATCTAATTGATAACCACTGTCGAGGAGTGAAGCAGACAGCCTGGAACGGCGGCACACACCTCTAGACTGCTCTGGGGGCTGAGGTGAGATGATCAGGAATTGAAGGTCACCCACAGCTACACAGTGAGTTTGAAGCCAACCTGAGTTGCTCCAGAAAACACCACCAAGGGTTGTGCTGCTGGTTCAGCTGCGCCAGTGCTTGCTACACAAGGCAGAGATGAATACCCAGCAGTGGGTGCAAACAAGGCAGAGATGAATACCCAGCAGTGGGTGCAAACAAGGCAGAGATGAATACCCAGCAGTGGGTCTAACAGCAGCATAGCTTCACCTAAGCCTGTGGCGCCCGTGCTGGGGTGGAGGAGACCAGAGGATCGCTTGAGTTTTGTTGACTGCTAGCCTGACTCAAAGTTTACTGCTGGCCCCTGTCTAGATGGTACAAGGAAGAAAGACACAGACAGACACCCAGTGTCTCCCTGCGGCCTATACATAGGGCACGCACACGGGAAGATACATATGTGAAGGCACCATACCTCTCTCTCTTGAACAAAACAGACCTATAAGAACCAACCAAACAAAAAATATCCCACCTAGAGCAGACCCTCCCCGACTCGGCTCCACCCTGGAACTGCTAGAGAAGCAAGCCACTCCAACAGAATTCCTCCTCCCAGCACTATGAATCCTGTGCTGCTCCTACATGAGAGCTGCTGTGCTGGACCTGGAAGGGTGAGGCTCTGTCCTCCCCCACCCCGGCCCTGTGATTTCAGAAAAAACATGACGTGAACTTAAGCCCAGAGTTCTCTTTGGGTGCAGGGTCCCAACCACACAGCCTCCCGCCCAGGCCACAGAGCCACCTGCACTCACGGGGGAAGAGGGACTGCCTCCAAAGAAGGTCACACGGTACCAGGTGGCAACAAAAACCCAGGTAGCAGAGAAGTCCGGGAGCTCAGGAAAGTACCGTCTGATGTCCTCTGTGGCTCTCTGCAGCACGGCTGGGTCAGTGGCCTCCCGGTAGTAGACGTCACCCGCGCGTCGGTTGTCCACATCTGCCCAGAAGGCTGCTACCACACAGCGGTCTTTGGCAATGGGGAAGGCCACGGGGGTGAACTGAGAAACCTCCTTCAGGAAGGAGATGATCCCGTTGTTGTTCACCTGTGGGGCAGAAAGCCAGGATGGTATGGACTGGGCACTGCAGAAGATGCTCAGCCCAGTGGCATCTCAGTTTCCCGGCCCCCAGCATCCTTTAAGAGTGACCCAGCTCAGGCAGGCATCCCAGGCTGGCTGACAGACCACCCCCCCACCCCTGAAATGGGACCATATGGCCCTGTTGGGCCTCCAGGTGGTCAGGAGGCTCTGGCTCCAACTCTGCAAGTCGCTAACAGTGCAATCTGAGACAATTTAGCCTGTCACTCTGCATTCTGGTTTTCTTACCTCTGAGGCTTGGCTAATACTACCTGTCATGTGTTAAAATCACAGATGGGATCAATGCTCTGATGAAAGGAAACCCAGAGTGTGCCTTCTGCCATGTGAGGGCACAGCAAGAAAACTCCTGTCTATGGACAAGAAAGCGGGCCTCACCAGTTGTGGATTCTGGTAGTGCCTTGGACTTCTTAGCCTCCAGGACTGTTAATTAATCTCTGTTACTTCTAAGTTGCACAGCATAAGGCATTTTGTTAGAGCCGTAGGTGGACCGTTTCCAGCTCTGACCTCATAGGGTGTTAGGCAATGGGGCATGGTCACACTCTGGGCTAGCATTGTATGGCATAGTTGACATCACAGCATTATTAGCAATACCTAAACACCGGGGGCAACCCAAGTGTCCACTGATGAACAAATGTATGAACATGATGGCAGAGCACATGCAAAGAATGGGGCCTTACTAAAAGGAAGAACGTCTCGACGTGCGATAATGCGGATGACATTTAATGGCATCCTGATGAATGAAAGAAAAAGACAAATGCTGCATGCCTCCATTTATTCAAAGTCTCCAGATCATTAAACTCACAGAAGTGGAAGGAAGATCGGTACTTTCAATGGGCTAAGGAAGGGGTGATTGGGAGTTGCTACTTAATCAGAATAGGGGCTCAGTTTTGGAAGCTACAAAGAGTTGCTTGGATGGATGGTGGCTACAGGGAGGGATTGAGGTCCTGAGTGTTTGTGTATAATTGGCACGGACACAGTCATGTCTAGGACCATGATGCCTCAGACCCATGGGAGCGGCAAAGGCTTCCTTGGGTCTGAGTGCAAATGTCGACAAAGCATGCAGAAAATGTCCATCATAGCTTTCTCCCTCCAGATATTTTCAGCCTGAACACTGCTCCCCTACGGAGACTGTGCCTACCAAGATTAACCAAGCCTGCTTCCTGTCCAGCTGTATACAATAACCTTAGCTCCCCGTTCAACTGTGTGAACAGACATGCTGCAGCTTCTCCATCAGGTAACCGAAGCCATATGATCCCAGTTATCTGCTCATGTGTCTGTGGGTCTGTCCTGTCTTCAGTACCTTGTCCCTAGTCAGGGTTGTGCGACCCAAGACATGGAAGAGCACAGCAGATGGTAGTGGTTAACACAGCAATTACATACACTAACATTACTGAAATGTTTATACTAAGGTTGAAGATGTATCTTTTACTATAATAAAAAAATTGGGAGAAAATAGTCATGTTAGAAAAGTCTTGGTGATAATTATAAAAGTGTGTATTTCCAAAGGCAAAATGTAACAAGGAGTCTAATACATATAACAAAGTAACAAGATTGCAGAATGGATTCGATGCAGTTACAGAACCACAAGGCCGCCTGATTGGTCCAATAAAGAGCTAAATGACCAATAGCAAAGCAAGAGAAAGCGTAGGAGGGGCTTGAAGCAAAGAGAATAAATAGGAGGAGAAAAAGAGGGATTGGGAAGCAGGAGAAATCAAGGAGTGGGGGGAAAAAGGGCCAGACACCCAGCCAGCCATGGACTAAGAGTGAACGTAAGATACAGAAGTTAAAAAAGGGGAAAGGCCCAGAGGCAAAAGGGAGACAGGATAATTTAAGAAAAGCTGGCTAGAAACAAGCCAAGCTAAGGCCAGGCATTCATAAGTAAGAATGAGACTCTGTGTGTGGCTTATTTGGGAGCTGGGTGGCAGGTTCCCCAAAGAGGGACAAAAAGAGCCAAAAGAATAAAAACGACCAACAACACATAACTCCACGTGGGCAATGACCCAAGGAACACTGTAGGTAATGGAATAGCGAGGAAAATCCACAAATTAAAAATCAAGGCAATAAGAGCATACAGATTGGGAAAGGCATCAAACGGAGGTCTCCTCAGGCCACAGCTGTTCTGCGATCACAGAAACTGCACATCCTTGATGGAGAGAGATAAGGCGGGGTTGATAAAATACTCAAAATATGTTGAAAAAAAATAATAGAACAAACAGTAAGGAGACAGATGTAATCAACTGTCAGTCAGACAAAACAAATATCACGAGTGATAGAGATGAAGACATCTGTGCCAGCTTCACAATAAGTTAAAACGAATTGAAGGTTCCCGTTTGAAGATAAACTAGATGCTAATCAAAGGAAAGTTGGCACGGTTGTATTATCATCAGATAAGATAAAGCATAAGGGCAAACAAGGGCTAGGAGTAAACATCACTTCACACTCACAGGCAGATGCAGTGGCTTCACACCTGATGAGATGGCAGATGGAAATAGGCCACTTCCTGACCATGGTGGGGCATTCCAGGATGCTCTCTGGTAAAATGTTTGGCCAAGGATATGAGGGCTGAGGAGGTAGCCTGACAGGGGAAGCATTCACTCTGGCCCCGAGCCGGAAACAAGAAAGCCAGCAGTCCCTGTCAGCTATCAGCAGGGCCATTTCCTTGGATTGTGTTTGCAGAGCTCAGCCTTGAGAGATGAAATATTGTCCTCTTGGGGACGAAGAGCAGGCTTACTATACGAGCCAAGCTCCTGAGCTAAGGCAGCAAATCCACGATGTGTGAGGCATCTTCTTGGGCCTCCGCGTTGTCCCCAGACACACAGTAAAGAAGTGCAGACAGAGGAACTCTCTGCGGCTCACATGACTTGTCCTGGATGGACAGTCGCTGAGAGTATGACATACAATCCTCCGAGTCTGGAAATTGTAAGTGGGATAAGCTACTCATGGTCATCAAGTTGGGCTTTTGTTAGGAAGATGAGGTGTGATTTATACTAGAAACTAATTAATTTATGATTAAAGTAATTTTCATCCATTTAAATTACATTTGGAGGAGAAAAATCCCCAGGACACACATAAAAGCGGAGTATGGCCATGAGTATCAGCAATCCCAGAAGCAGATCCCAAGAACTCACTGGCCAGGCAGCCTAGCTGAAACAGGGCTCCCAGTTCAGGCTCCCTGTCTGTCATTTGTCTGACTCTGCACAAATACTTCTGGTCATGGAGACCTCACGAAAAGTTTTATTTATTTTACTTTTTGAGCTTATAATATGATTACATCATTTCTCCCTTCCTTTTCCTCCTTCCAAACCCTCCTACTCTCTTTCAAATTAATGGTCTCTCTCTTTTTCATTAATTGTTATATACATCTATGCACATACAGAAATATTCCTAAGTACTCAACTACCACCTGCTCAGTCTCCATAATGAACTCGTATGTATGTTTTCAGGGATGACCATCTGGTATTGGATAGCTAACTGGTGGGCTCGTCCCAGGGGAGGACTATTTCTCCAGCTCTCAGCATTCCTTAGCTGCCTATAGTTCTTTGTGTAGAGCTGAGGCCTTCTGGGCGTTCTCCATCATAGTAAGTTTTAATGTCTGTTAGCGCATGTCCTTCTAGCTTGTGTTCTAAAATGGTCTTGGCTTTTCTTTTGTGTGTGCATGCATGTATGTGCACATATGTATACACCCGTAGAGGCTAGGGAATAACATTGGGTTTCTTCCTATTTTGCCCTTCATCCTATGTTTTTGATTTTTTTTAATATTTTATTTTATGTGCACTGGTGTGAGGGTGCCAGATCCTTTGGAACTGGAGTTATAGGCAGGCGTGAGCTGCCATGTGGATGCTGGGAATTGAACCTGGGTCCTCTGGAAGAGCAGCCAGTGCTCTTAACCACCGAGCCACCTCTCCACCTCCCCACTTTAAAAACACTTATTTAGTTATTTGTGAGTATGATGGCCTTTATGTAGAGGTTAGTGGACAACTTGTGGGAATTGGTTCTCTTCTGGTATGGGTCCCAGGGGTTGAATTCAAATTATTCAAATTATCACGTCCATTAGAAAGTGGCTTTACTGCCATGCACACCCACACACATGTCTACACAACATGCACTCACCCACACATGCACACACATGCACACCCATGGACATATATGTATGCACATACACACATACATACAGCATACAGGCACATATGTGCACACACACACCACACACACACACACACACACACACACACACACACACACGGGAATACTTCTCAACTGTAAAAGAAAAAAAAAACCCTCCCATTTGTAACAACATGGATGAGCCCGTGTGACACCATGGTAAGTGAAATAAACCAGGTACAGGAAGACAAATACTGCGTGATGTCACGTGCGGAATCTGAAAACACTAAGTTCACAGAGCAGAGAGTAGCAGTGTGGCTGTAACACGTGAAGAATGGAATGGGACGTGATAAGAGGCAGCTGGAACGCTAGGTTATATAAGTGCTCTCGTCCAGTGGCGTTGGCTGCATTAGAAATACAGGATCATGTGCTTGACATTAGACCACCTCCCACCTGTGATAAGCACACCTGAAGGAGCACACATCAGCTTTATGGTGGCAGTCATTATCAAGGTGCACAAAATCAGTGCACTGAATAAAACTTGAATAAATACATGTATGCTACTTTACTTCAACAAAGCTGGACATTATAACTAAAACAAAATTCAGAACAACCCCGATTGTCAACCACCGTAAAACACACAGACATCTCATAGTCTGTTCTGACACTCACACCGTAATGACAAGGGGCAGACAGTGCCCTCAGGAGAAGGGACGAGTCACGCTGGAAACAGTGAGGGGGAAGCTGGTGTTTCTTTGTGGCTGGGGTAGAGCTTGTGGAATGGCCTTGTCAAGGATGTGTTGCTAGAGCCAAGGACATGCAGGGGCTGGCGGGGTGGCTGCCCAGAG